ACAGCTGCCAATGATGAAATGATGATTGCGTTGGTTGAAACTGGGACAGTATCACAATGAAGGGTATACCTTCTAGATTCGTCTGTTATAAAACCTCGCATGCATCCACCCGTGAACACGTATCCAATGATGAAATGATGATTGACTGCGTTGAAACTGGGACAGTATCACAATGAAGGGTATACCTTCTAGATTCGTCTGTTATAAAACCTCGCATGCATCCACCCGTGGACGAACACGTATTCTCTGATTTCACAACATCCAGTGGTCTCAGGCAGGGGAGTCCTTTGCCACCTTTTTCACTTAATATCGTAATCGGCCCCTTGGGGATCGGAGTACTCTCGGTGTGTTCACTCACGGGTATTGAACACAATGACGATGTTGCTGTTATCGATTCAGACCACTTCCACTATTCAAAATAATCGTAGTAATTCTACTGCACAGTTCGCACCTGTAAAAATCTCTCAGCTGTAACACTCTTCCAGTGCCTAGCTGCCATGCTACCCGAAGGAAGCACAAGGGCTGGGATGCTGCTAGGTTGCCCAAGCCTAGACAGGGGAAGTTGAGAAGCAGAGGTCGGGTTCGAACCATAGACCTTGCGGTCAGTAGATTCGCGCTCTAACCACTTGGGCCATCTCGCCCCCATTCGCACCTGTAAAGTTGTCCGGAGGCAAGCTGCTCTTAATAGCCTAACATCAGGTCGATTGGACGACTGTCACACACGGGCTACGGACTAAACGAAGGTATTCCTTGATTGATCAGAATGTCAGTCAATCTGGATCGAGCGTCTGCCGATCGATGCCTCTCTTGCTCTCACAAATACTATGGCGTAATTCTGTGGAGTATTCTTTGATAACCCTATACGTACGGCTGTAATGAATCTTGTCTCAGGCTATCGTTCCTTTTGGTATATCATATTGGGCTGAGTAGGAAGTCAAGGACCGACACAGAAGTTGTGCTACCGTCAGTAAACCACAACAACTGGCGACAACCCGAACCCTCGATGTCAATTTTGGCATAACAACTTCAAGTTATTTTACAACAGCAACAAAAGTGGTTCGAAGAAGCTCAAATGAAGCTTGTTGAGTCCCTGATGCACAGTTTGTCGGTGAATGTGACGAAAGCATTGGGGCCTCGGTCTTCCTTGTGCGTCTCCCATCTCGATCACCGAATTCAATGTGCACGCGGAATCTGGACGAACTTTCGAAAGGTGGTTCATGAAATATGATGACATCTTTCAAGCCGACTTTACTCAGTTTGATGATGCATGTAAAGTTCGATCGTTGCTGCGGCACAGCTGAACACGATCGGTTCACCAATTTCATTCTCCCCAAACTCCATCTTGACCTCGCTTCGCAGATACCGTCAAGATCTTGGCCCAAATATTCGATGGGCAAAATTGCTTGTTCGATATTCGTTATCAGTGTCTCAAGATTACCAAAAGGGGTACTGAAGATTACATTACGTATTCCGGTGTGGTCAACGAAGAATGCAAGCATCTTCAGCTCAGCACCATGGCCGAGGATCAATTCAAGTGTCTCATCCTCGTCGCTGGTCTTCAATCGCTACATGATGCGGATGTTCGGATCCGGCTACTGAATTGAATTCCACAGGGTACAGAAATGGCGCTTCAGAAACATACCACCGAATGCCAGCATCTTACCAATCTCAAGGCTAATACCGCAATTGATTTCACATTCCGATTCCATCAGCATGAAATAGCATGCAGAGTAACTCCAAAAGGCAATCAAATTCCAAACGAACACCGGAAAACCGCCCACATCCTGTTGGTTTTGTGACGAATGGCACTATTCACGCCACTATCTCTACCGGAACCACAGGTGCAGTAAGTGCAGTCCAAAAGATCACAAAGGAGGATGCTGCAGAGACAACTTCATGAGCTCGTGCAAGAATCAAACACAAAAGGACGCAGACAGAAGCCATGAGCGTTACACTCAGGATGAAATCACCCGACCGCGCAAACTCGTCACAGCATGTATAAATGGTACACCGGTTACCCTACAGCTTGATACAAGTTGTGACCTCACTCCGATTTCAAAACGGACCTGGAAGGTGATTGGAAGACCACCAGTTTGAGGCGCAAAATGCACCGTTCATAATTTGTCTGGTGGAAGCCCCAAACTTACCGGAAGCTGCTTAAAGTTCAAGGGTTTCAACTCAGTGGTGCTTGCAACCTCATGAACTATGCAGGCCTTGGTCTTGGCTCTGGATTGGATTAATGAGCTTCAACTGTCGGATCAACTCCTCAATGTTGGGACAACTGCAGATGGCTTCAATACTTTCACGACAACACTACACGATGTCGATTTTGTGGTCCTCACAGTTACAGCCAAAAGGGAGGCCAGTAGGAGCATACGCGACAGCAGCTAATCAGCCACTGGTGCCCGGCACCGGTAACACTCACTTCAGTCCATTTTAGAGAATGTTGCCAGCAGCCTGCAACCTTGTATACGTGGTCCGAACCCTTTAATCTGTGGTTTCAGGTCCATGCGAATCGTTCCACTGCTATCCGGAAAATCAAGAGAGATGGAGTGGCAGAAGGTGCACCGCAATCGTCAATCAGATGCCAGATACTGATTTGATAATATGAGGACTACTGTCTACTGTGGACGCCAGGTCGAATATTACTTTAAGCACGAGGCGCACAACAGATCATAGGCACGGTGACATCAAGGGAACCAACTTCGGACAACAGACTGGCCTGGTAAGGGAACCACGTCCCATGTAACACCGGACAACCGTTACATACCTCCGATCGCAGATCAGCATGGTCGCTGCCCTAGGTACGGATCGACATGCGACAGCATCTGCGTGTGTCGTCGTAATGGAGTTCAAAGCAGCGTTAGATTGAACATCTTCTGGAGATGTCCGGAGGCCAACCACTCTTCAAAATCCAAATCAAATCGTTCAGCCGTAGCACTCTTTTGATGCCTAACTGCCATGTCACCAGAATGAAGCACGAAGACTGGGATACTGCTCAAGTCTAGACAGAGGAAGTGAAGAGGAAGAGGTCGGGTTCGAACCGCGGACCTTCCGGTCCGTAAGCTGGTGCCTTAACCACTGAGCTATCTCTCCCCAGCCGCTCTTAATAACCGAACATCAAGTCGATTGGACGGCTGTCACACACGAGCCACGAACTAGACAAAGGCATCCCTTGGTTGATCAGATTGTCAGTCAGTCGGACATTTGCAGCTGGACACTTCTGTCCCTCACAAATATTCTAGCGTGGCCCTCTGGAGTATTCTATGATAAATACGACTGTAATAGTCTTAATTTATCTCCATAAATTGCTACGTTCCTTTCGATATACCATAGTGGGGGCGGAGCAGGAAGTCAAGAACCGACAGAAAAGTTTCACTACCTTCAGTAAGCCTTAACAAATTTGGACAGTGTTACTGCAGGACTGGGAGGACTCCAAATGTCACTCGGAATAACACACTGATACCTCTTTACTGGTCACAATTGAGCGCTGCTACTGCCGAGAAGCGTATGCTGCACGCGATTGGCTAAAGGTTCGGGCCGCCTACCGGTCCGGCATCAAGGCGAGCTCTGATCCTTTGAAAGTCTGGGCCCAACAACCAATCATGATCCATTATTCTCCGGTTGTCAATGGCGCATCCAGGTGTCAGAATTTCCAGAATATTGTTGCAGCATGCACTTTATGCACGACGCGTTGTACATATGTCTTTGGTCTGGATGTGGGTTTTATTGGTGGTTTCACACCTGTGGTTTTACGGGGACGCTAACTCGGGAGGTTGAGACAGAACCAAGCGGAGGAAAATACCGTTACTTCTATTGACGACGGGGATGGGATCCCGGTATATACCGGCAACTGCCTTCAGCGATGGGCCACTTTTCTCCCGGATTAAGACTCCAAGATCAAGTACCATTCCACTAACAGCCAACGACCACTTCAGAAGTTTCAAACATTCAAGCCGGAGACTAGGCTGAGAAAATACCATTATTACATCATGGATGGGGCCTGCGGGACAAGGAAAATCAATGGTCATGGACCCTGATAGATATGGTTGTCACACAGCCAATGGCGCTGAGCATCAAAGCTGTCGTTTTCACTGCGTAACTGATTGCCTGTCATACTAGACAAAGAGAACCACTCGACGTCCTTGCACAGATTGGATCAACGCCTCTACCACGTGACTAACATTCTCTCCTGTTCATCCTCGATAAATGAAACTGTAGCAGCTGGAACCACTGCAGTTTTGTGCAAGATTTGTGTGCTGGGGAGCTGAAAATTAACTGGTCGGGAGCTCACACAAAATTACTTTGAGTCTTCATTGGGTCAATTAAAAATCTTTTGTGGAAACTGACGGTATTCCAGATTATCTTCACACTTTCGACTACCAGTTCACACTCACCTAAGTATGTTTACGTTAGATGACGGAGGTTTCACGACTTTTGTTTGTGTCCTTTCTTTCCGTCATCTGAACTGATGCAGTGCTTTTTGATATCTTGTCTAATTCGCCCTATTTACACTTTCCTTTTCCAGTCGGAATGATGAACACTGGAGATGAGGTTGTTCTCGCACTCACAGATGACCTCGACACGGGTGACTCGCACGATGGTGGCCAATTCCCACCATCCAGCCGTAGACTCGCGTTAGCCGGCCACTTTCTGTTCCGCACGATGGCTATCCTCATCTATTTCTTCTGCACTTGGTTCACTTCTTCCTTTGTGGTCCCATTCGTCCTGGTCCTGATAAGTTTATCTTTGGATTTCTGGTTTGTCAAAAATATTTCTGGCCGTATCCTGGTCGGTTTACGTTGGTCCAGCTATACCGATGAGGAGGGCCATACACGTTGGCGCTTTGATTCACGCCCGGCAGCACCCGAACCCGCTGAAGGAGTAACGCTGACCCGACGGGAGGTGGCAGCCCGTGCTGCTCAGGCAAATGCTGCTCGTTTATTTTGGATCGGCCTCGTTGTAACTCCGGTGGTTTGGGTTGTATTCCTATTGGCTTCGATCTTTACGCTGCATCTTCGTTGGGCATTAGTCTGTGGTATTGCGCTTTGTATGTCGGGGGTCAATCTGTACGCCTTCTGCCGCTGTTCCCTGGCGGATATGAATCAAAACGTATTATCTAGTCTACAGGCCAAGGTGGCTCGGCAAATGTTCACCGACTTTTGGTCAAATCTCACGAAGAAGCCTGCTACCGGTGCTAGCGCTGGCGGAACCAGTTCCTCGGTCGGTAAGACAACCTTGGAAGCCTGATCTTCACTAACACTTCTAGTATAATGTTGACCGTTGTTCACACCATCCTTTGGTGCCTGTGATAAAGTACTGTGTTTACTCCATCCGTTCGCCTGGGTATGTAGATACCCGACAATTGAAATGAACAGTGATCCGTTTTGTTTGTTTTATCCCCACCTCTCAATGCATGATCAATTCTGGCTAGCCGCGCAACACATCCCCATATACCGGATTCATTTTGTAAGCGTTCTTTACTGTCTTTCAGACCAGGGCATCAACATGCGTTTTTCCTCCTGATCTTTCTCTGTTCAGTACTGTTTATTGGTTGAAAACATGCCTGTGAATCTGTTCTGTTTGTTTCTTTTCGGCACAACGGGGTACATCTCCTCAAATCAGCCTGCACAACGGCCTCTAGCTTTTCAGCGGAATTTCCGGCTAGGAATTTTCCTCAAATCAGCCTGCACAACGGCCTCTAGCTTTTCAGCGGAATTTCCGGCAAACTAGGAATTTTCGTTTGAGACTACCAGATGCCATACTTTAATGATACTAATAATAGTAAGTACGGATAAGTGTAAAATAATTATACGCCTCCCTCAGACTAATCGTTTTCGAAACGAAGCAGTCTAAACGAATGTTGAAACGAAGTGCTAAGTAATCATTCAACCTTCAAAGAGGGACGTTCCTAATGTGGATTCCACCAGGCTGCACTGGTTGTTGATCGAATGCAATGTCGTTCATCGCTAGACCAAACCCAAAACGAATGTTTACGCTTTCTTCACAAACGTTGAAAGTTCAGGAAAACAAAACCGACGTTCTCCTATGTGTGTCCGCTCATTTCTAGCCATCTCGAGCGTGACTCTGATGCCAGACTGTCAGAAATTGAATTAATATACGATAGTGATGATCATGTTCTTCTCTTACGAGGCCCCGGTTGAGTGGAGGGTGCATGATATCAAAATCGATGAAGCGCAGCTGTTTCAAAGTCACCTAAACAAGATGAGTAGTCCATAACGGTTTGAATGGTCCCTACAGCGAAAACATTCTCGATAGAACTATAGTGAAGCCTTGGAAACTACCCGAAGAAGTTGAACATGCCTTAGCCTCCAATGTTTGGTTGTATATTCCACTTTCCCGTTTTCCGGTGATCGAAACTGTAGCAGCTGAAACCAATGTGCCGATGGCACACGGTTTATCGATGATAAATTGATTGATTGATTGTATATTGTATGTATTGTGTGTGTAATCTGTATATGTAATGTGCAGTATCTTCCCTCCGCGAACAAATGCCAATAAGGGGGGACAGTCCGACACTTCTTAGATGGGGGGACGGTCTATTCTGGAAGAGGAACATTTTCCACCTACCGTATGGGCAAATAATAGCGTAATTTTGCGAATAGTGCAATTAAACAGTAATGCCCTGGTCCTCTCTTGCAGTATCTGGACATAACAAGCACCCCCTTATATAGGCTATCTTTATCGTCCCTGGGCTCTGTAATCGAGCAAGAGTTATTAAAGGTTGGTTAGGAAGTTCACACCTTACAATCGCCAACTGGAATCACACCAGAGACTCCCTTAGATCCACACTCTGGCACGATCCCCTTGTAACTTTTCAGGAGTTTCCCCCTTTCGAGCGGTTACCCTTTTAAGGAGAAGTCAGAGACTTTAGGATGCGGATCCATCGCCAGAGAGAACAGTTACATCTCGACAAACACAACCATGGGTATATCGATTTGGTTTTGACTTTGTGATCAATTTCCCTCATGAAAGTTTACTGCACCATGTTGAATATCGTACCAACTGAATCATGGAGCTGCTTGGTGTAGCACAGTCAGTTGCTTAAGAAAACCATAGACGGGAGATTCAGCTGGGCTCCAGATGCGTCAAGGCCAAAGTGATATACAAATGAGTGTATTTGTCGGAATCAGTCCATTTTGGGTTGGAGTCGAACATGAGGTTGACGGAAACTCAGGGACTGTGCCCACCTGATGAGCCTCAAGAAGGGAGAAACCGGTCGTGAGCTGTCGAATAGTTTTCAGCAACCTTATGAGTAGTGTATTAGGAGTTACACCTGTGGTGGTCCTTCATGGGCGCGGTCAATATACCGCCTGTTCAAGTGAATTCTATCCACTAGTGCAATGGAGCTAAATAACACTTCGCCTCTTAAGCGGTTGCGGGTAGTCTGCTGTTTGAGTTGATATGTGACTACACTGACATTATCTATCACTAGTAGCCAGTTCAAACGTCATCGGACCATCTCAGGTGGTTTACTGTGTATTTTTCTCAGCTCTTTAAATTTTATCGAAAACTTGAGGATTAGACTATCTTATACGTTTTCGACAAAGGCTGTCGAATGTGGAATACTTATTTTGAAGGATGGTTTGTTTGACAAGCGAACACTGTACGAGAGCGCTTTCGAAATAGATTAACTTTTCAGACTGACGGGAGCTCACCGAACCGCTAGTAGTGTGGACCATACTCCTCATCATCAAATTTGGAAATCTGTAAGCCCTATTTTTCCCGCACTGTGTTCTAATTGTGAGCTTTGGATAAGGCACCTAGTTTGGGCTGTACGTTCGGATCCACTACACACCATATTCTCGTCATATCACCTTACCTACCTTACTGACTCGTCATTTGAACGCATGCTCTCGGTAACGGATTGCCACTGTCTTAGTCTTGCATCCACTAACCCACACACCGTGACAGACTGAAGGCTATTGCTCACCTAATCATCCTACACCCCGGATTGCCACTGTCTTAGTCTTGCATCCACTAACCCACACACCGTGACAGACTGAAGGCTATTGCTCACCTAATCAATCCTACACCCGCATCAGCCTGCGGACAAGCTCTTAGCTGACAGGAACGACGTAAAACGGATAAAAAACATTTGTACATGATCGCTACTCTTCTGTTCCCAGTCATACACTCAAGACTACTTGGGCGTAATACTGCTGTTCATAAAAACTCCCGAATGAGCCTGCACAAATATGTCCTCGTCAGCTTACTTTGCGTTCATATTTTTCTGCAACCTGAGTTGCTCTGCGGCAAATTTCTAAAAATGCTTGTTTGCCTTTGAAAAACGGTTTAATGCTGCTTTGAACTGCAGGCTTTTGTACCAGAAAGTTCCAAACTTATGTTCCAAACTTATTTGTTGTTTTTACTACTACAATTTGTCACCAAACTCAATATGAAGTGTCTCCCGGACCGGTGTGCGACATTCCCTACTCGCTACAGATGCCTCGAGCATGATTGTGTCGCCACGATCTGTGACTTTCGTTTGCTTGAAAAAGTTTGTTTATGAAGTAAACAGTTGTAATACGCGTATGAAAAATTTTGAAATGCCATCGATTTGATTTGTACATGGAAAGTGCATGTGACTATGCGTGTGTGCAATCTTTCGTTTTCCTACACTTGGATGGTAAATTGAGAAGAGCGGACGGACAAACATGGAAATATAGTTTGTGTAAGTGTGCAAATGTTGTCTTTCTTGTGTGCATAATGATGTCAGTGTTAGGGTCAGGATCGTTCGGCAGCAAGCGAAGAAATTATCTTGAATCCATCTGGATAGGAGGTTGTATGCGTTCCAAAATGCGTTCATCTGCTGGTAAGAGAAGATAGAAGAAACTGCTAATATTCACGTTGCCAAAATGTCGTAGCCATCTGGAAACCAAGTATCGTCTGTTTAATCACATAGAGAATGCAACTTCAAGAACAGAAAGCAGTACAAGTTGGCCGTACGAACTGGTTTAGCGCTCTTAGATAATCCTAACCAACTATGAAGCTCGTACAACCTTTCCTCTCTCCAACCTATATGCGGCAGTCGCTTCATTTAACTTCAAAATTCAGCGACGTTTGTCTCGTGGCTATTTGCTCGGGCTTGTAGTGCACTCCCAGAATGACTGGGTTGGTTGCTGAGCAATCATACTTTTTACTAGCTTGTCGTTCATGTGCACCTTCGGATGCGATCTAGCTATGCGCTAGCTTGGAACACATTACTGCAAAAGCAAAGGATCTCGACTGGTGCTCTCATGCACACTGGCCAGACGAACGCCATGCATGGTGGCTGGGATACTTCATAGAGTTAAGTTCGCGAAACCCATGATCCGGTGTCCTTGCATACAAGTCTACGACATTGCACATGTGTCTCAGTCATGGAATATCTGGAGCGGCTATCTCATTCGAGTCCAGGAATCCTATTGCCTGCTCGAAGAAGCTGCTGGAATCATCTGAAAGCAACCGAATTTTTGGGAATAATGTGTTTTTCAAATCATCTGTTCAGCGACAGCTGCCTCGAGACTTGAGTGAAATAAAACACCTGCTCAGATAGTGAATTGCTTCTCCCTGATTAGAGTTGTGTTAGCTCCAGGGACTGAATGACATTTCACGGAAGCGAACTGGAAAAAGTATCGTATCCCATAAAATTCGTCTCACCTTGTTTCCGTACTGGTAACGAAGGGGGTTTGTCGTGGTTCAAGATATTCCTCCACCCAGATCTGCGGAACCGTTTGGTCAGATACTGTGCAGCCGACGGTCTCGCTTGCAGTTACGTCGATGGTCTCATTTGCTTGAGCGTAGTCGAAGTTATTTTTTGTCACGCTTTGTGAGACGAACGTCGTTAGATTCGCTTCTTTGTCCTAAGGCACGAAGGCAGGTGAAATTTGGGTGTATGACACGAAATTTGTCATTTAAAACACTAAACAAGTGCAACTAGGTATTAGAGCAGAGTTAATGGGATCTGAACTGCTCTGCCTTTTACAACAGCTCCTATCATCTGGTCGAATACTATTTGACGTTGTCGTGATTAAGACATAAGTTAGAACGAGGATGTATCAAAACCTATGTAAAAAGAGAAACATTTCTCCCAATAATCGTTCATCTGTAACACACTTTCAGTGCCTAGTTGCCATTCCATCCGAAGGTTGGGCTACTGCTGGGTTCTTCAAACCTAGACAGGGGAAGTCTAGAGGCAGATGTTGGGTTCGAACCACGGACCTTCCGATCAGTAGATTTGCACCATTCGAGCCATTTCGCCCCTATCATTCCACTGAATTATACTTTACAAGGATAAGTTCACGGCTCCCGTTTTCATCACAAATGACTTCAGATAGTCTTTTTGAATTACCAAGGTCAAAACGTATCCTAGTTGTGAAGGAGTTCATATCAAGCACCACGTGAATGGTAAGTGAAATTGAGCACAATACTGACCAGATCCGATGATATTCGTCTACAATGCCTGCGTGCAACAATTTCATTGGTCAATTTTAAGCCTACATAACTTACCGAAGCGTTGTGAGACTGTTGCATTGAAATGCTTTCGACTTCGTTTACAGAATACGCTCCAGGTCCGACAGGTGTATTTGTTTCAGTTAATGGACGAGCAAAGGAATGCGAGTGATGGCTATATTGAATAGGATCTCTTGGAATGCCCGTTTTGCATTGATCTACTGCCTGATTTCCGTCCCGGAAAGTGGTGAGTAGCCTGACCGGGTTCTCACACCTTGGGACGCAGGACACAAACTTGAGTTGACAGTACGCTCGATCCTCCTCTTGCGTCCTTGCGTCATCTGCGTGGTGTGATCCTGGTTCGCTCAGATAGGCGTAGTTGTTACTGATGAAATCTTGCACACACGAGGGAAACGCGGTGATTTGGCTGTTCACATACAGGTTACGGATCCAATCCACCTGCATCTGTGCGTACTCGATAGACGAATCCCCCACGGAGTCCAAGCAGATTGTCGTACAGTCACTGTGAGTGTCGCGGCTACTGCTGTTCAGTGTGTGTGTGAGGAATTCCAGGGCTTCGGTCGCATTTGATCTCGTGGGTCTCTGCTGTCGTCGACGGATGCATGACTGAAAAGACAGGCCACAATGGCTGATGAACCAGCTGTCGTCCTACTGTTTGGTTGCCGAAAAACGTCTCTTTTTGAAGAATACACAGTCCAGTGAACAGCGTAAATTTATCCTCCCTTGGAAGGCTTATCTGGTCATACATCAACCATGCCGGCCGAGTAATCTACTTTAACAATATAATTTGTATTCCTATCGGAGAAATCCAAGGATAGGTTAAGCTCTTCACTAGGAGTGATTATAAGGGAACATCTACCGGTGAAGTAATGCTCAATTAGAGTTGTTCTCCATGGATAGGGGACTCCATCCCAGTGGATAAAGCCCTGGAGAGGATGTGATAAATCTATGCTCTCAAAATTCCCCATTATGACATACCGAATATAAAATATGAAAGTTTATTTCTGTTCAGATTATGTGAGGCAAGATGTTGGAACGTCAAGTTTTTGGCGATTGCATCTGATGTGCATTCCTGAGCTCAGTAATTGAATTTAATGTACCCGTGATAGTAGAGTGCTGTCTCGACGGGGGTTGTCCCTGCTATTTTTTAGTGAATGCTGGGAACACTTCACCGTTTTGGTAAGTCAGATCGCTTGATATTACGTTTTCAGGTTCTTAAGTAATCGTTGGATGATTGATACATATTGCAGTTCCTCAGGTTGTCGAGCTGCGTGAAAAATGTATCAACAAATGCAAAGCTGTCGTCAGAATTTAATGAAGTCACGTGACTTTTCGATTGAAGGTATCTGCGTAAACCATGTGCGTCAGACATCGTACAGTGCCCTTAGATACTTTCATAATTTGGCTAGCACAGCCTTGATACCAGTATATTTCGCTGCTCAACAACAAGGTCTTCGTATTGATCAATGATCAAAAAGTGTATGTGGCTTCTTTGTCTTCACACTACGTTTTGAGGAGAAATCAAATTCCACCCCTTACAGTTGTACATGCAAAGGAACACTCGAATCCCACTCAGAGTTGAATGATTACATGTGATTGGGTTCCGTCCCATGAAAGATCGTTCTAAGCGAAAACTGATCAACGATGTAGCAGCACCATTCAGCAACCCGACTTTGGGACTGCCAATCAAATGGGTGCCATCTCCGTGACAGATACCATTCGATTATTCTGATAATCCAAGGGTGGAAAATACCATATTCCTGGCGCTCCACGTCTGTTTTCCCCGATTCGGAGTCCACCAAGGTTCACGAGTTCGAGGTGAAAACCATTCACCTTGGTGACTAAAAGGGTATGACACGGTACAGACGCTACAGCCGTGGTATTCCGTTGAACGTGTGTTTAACGTTATACATCATGAAGAAGAATACTTTGGACTATCGATTTGTTCCAAGTTAAATCATTTTACCGAAGGACCCTTGGTTTTTCATGTGCAATTTAGGATTTGTTCGATCCCATTTCTTGGGACTCCTCTCGAGATAGGGACACTTTGGCCAAGCCCTAGGGATGGTTCCCACTGAGAGATCACTGTAACTTTCGTGCTTTGTCTGGGCCCATCGGCCATTGAAAAAAGAACTGTTATATGGTTGGATGGACAACATTAGAGATGACAAGTGGCTGTAGTATACTGGTTTCTAAATTTACCAGCTCTGAAATATGTACTCGCCTAGTTAGTTAGTGCCGTTCCCATTGGTGCGTAGTGCGTTAGTAGTCAAAAACATACGTAGAGAATCGAATTGTGGTATGCACGTGAAAGTGAGTCGCATGTTCGCACGTGATACCGGGCCAATATCTCACTGGCTGAGGGCATACTGCCCCCTGTCACACCAGGCATGTCTTCAAATTAAGGGTCTTGGAACGCGCCAAGGCTCCAGTAGGCCACTGTGCGCCTCGGTTCAATGACAACTTTTTCTTTGCTGGCGCACAAATAAAAACAGCGCGAAATAAGTCATGCCTACTCACATGACCAAATATGCGGTCATTGATACAAACGGAGCTTGCTGCAAGTGGCTCTGGGTGTTTTAATCATATATTTGCTTGTCCAAATGTCGACCATCCTAAGTCTTCATCACAACTGTTGTCTTTTACGGTCGCTCGTTCACGAAAACCCATCTGGCCTTCATTACGAATGTTTCTTCTAAATACACAGGACATGTAGGTGTGTACATCTGGGTGAAATGGCCCAAGTGGTTAGAGCGCGAATTTACTGACCGGAAGGTCCGTGGTTCGAATCCGACCTCCGCCACTCGCTTCCCCTGTCTAGGCTTGGGCAACCTGGCAGTATCCCAGCCCTCGTGCTTCCTTCGGGTGGCATGGCAGCTAGGCACCGGAAGGGTGCTACAGCTGAACGCTTTCTTTCTTTCTTTTTTCTTCCTACATCTGTTTCAAACTCACCATTGTTCTACTATTCTAGTTGTTATTTATAATGATATAAATTTAGTGCCTAACCTGTTCTACTAGGCGCTGAAGTGGTTTGAGGGCATCTAGCCGTACACTTGGGTTACTTGGAATGACCCAATTTAGTGAGACCGACTGCCAGATGCAATACAGAGGTGTATATTTTGCCTGTCAAGGCCCCCCGAATCGATCAGCTGTTACACCCTTTAAGTGCCTAGGAGCCGTGAGAACGGAAGGAGGCACGGAGACTTGGATACTGCCAGGTTGCCCAAGCCTAGAGAGGAGCGGTCGAGATGCTAAGGCCAGGTTCGAACCACGAACTTTCCGGTCCGTAAGCTGGCGCCATAACCACCGAGCTATCTCGAGCCCTATCAAGCCCGTTTATTCTCTTAGTGGACAGGTTCGAACCACGAACTTTCCGGTCCGTAAGCTGGCGCCATAACCACTGAGCTATCTCGAGCCCTATCAAGGCCGTTTATTCTCTTAGTGGATTGTCTATCCTTGTACAAATCTTCAGCTTATTTTCATTTGGTTAGCAAAGGCACACCGCATGTGGTTTTTAAACGGTTTACTTTCAACATAGTGGCCCCTAACCTGCGGAATCATGGGTCTTGATGGATTGCGTACGTACATTATGCCTGAATGAATTGTGATCTCATCATGTTGCAATCTTCTCAACATTGTTACTCCTGGTTACTCAGATTATTCGTGATTCTACAGACCGACGTCACACCTTAGTGAGTGTTGTTTCGTCAAGTATTTTATCGCCCTAATTGCGCACACGGTGGGGGGGGGTGCACGTGATACAATCGATCCTACCGCTCCGTTTGCAGTTGAGGTACGTTAGGCTGTGACACTGTTCCTTTCATGTTGCTCATAAGTTTGTAGTATGCCTTATTCCAAACACTGTACTTTTACTAATATAATTCTATGACCTCATATACCACTTTTTACTTCCGTTTGAATGCGATGCGTTTACAGAAAAACGACAGATCCTGGAGTCCGTGTGATATGGATAAGGTTCCACACTGCGATATATTTATATGATATATACGCGATATGATAGTACGCTACCTGAAAATCGATTCAATCAAGAGGATTTCAATATCTGACCATATTGTTCCATTCATGTGGGTTTATGTACAACTGATCACTGTTGTATACTAATGTAGAACTGTGCTAACGTTTCTCATATCACGCTGTCCAAAGTGACAGCACTGACCACCCTAGCAGTGCAGAGACATGCATAAGTTTTTGTGACATTCTCTCTTTGTCACGTCTCATTCTGTTTTCACCGGATACAGTACTGTACGTCTGAACTGCTCAAAATGAGACAGGGATTAAGGTCGTGCTACTTAGGAATCGAGAGGTATATAGCATCGACTTGTGCACTGTCTTAATCCTGTCTTAATGGTTTGGTTAGAGTGTCCTCCGGAATGTGCCGGGAAATCGAAATATTCATGCACCCAGACAATAAGTAGTATGTTGAACGGTAACGGTCTACTGGAATGAAAATGCACAGCGTAGCCATCGGGAGTCATAGTCCGCTGTCTCTGGTTTCCACACACGAAGGACACAGATTTGTAGTAGAAACTGTGAAGACCTTGGAAGGCGAAAACGAAAGAAATCACAGCACTTGGTGAAATGTTCGCTATACACATTGTGATTGGCTCTATTTGTAACACTGTGTGCAAGCCGTAGTCATAATCCGTCGGACCAACAGTCCAAGAAACCGGGCTTTCGGGCAGACAAACGGTCGAAGCTCAGCAGAGAAATAGAAACTCAAGTACTGAAGAATCGGAACACGCTTTGGGCAACAAACTAATAGGAATGATTGGTCAAGCAACCAATGACAAGCCTAGGTCAGTTCGTGAGAGCACATCACACATTAGCACGAACCGATGTCGTCAGCTTGCTTGGCGATAAAACATTTGCAACAAAGTGACTCATTTCAGGAAGGAAAGCAGCGACCATCATTCCTTCATGAGACCATAAAAGTCCTCCAAACCGTGTAGTCTCGGTGATAATACACTCAGATTAGGCTCATGGTGTCAGATGAATGCCCACTTTGTCTTGGAACATGAAGCAAGCCACACGAGCCACCTGATTTGATCGTCATAAGCTTGGCAATCTACTTCGAATCAGTCGAATTTCCAAGTTGCCACCAAAAATGGGCGACCTTGAAGAGTGGGTGACTGCAGCCGTCCGGCTAAAATAGACCAGTGTTCAAATTGAACTCAGAATGTCAACAATGCGCCCGAGATCACTTTCAGGAAGTTCACTCATCCTTATCTTCACACAATCTCTTGGCTACCTTTCGATTTTAGTTACAAGACAATGCTAGAACCCAGTCTCAAATTGGAAGCCAATAAACACAAGGAAATGCATGTGAAACTCACCGTGATGTAAAAGTATCTCTCTGGTGTTGCCTTCACTCTGGCCAAGATATGATGCAATTCGTTGAACGTCGGACGTATGTTAGGGTCAGTCTCCCAACCTGAAAAATGGGACGATGGAATGTTTGTCCTCGAAAGTCATTCACTTCGCAGCTGTTTTAACGAACGTGACGATATGCAGACCAATATGGTGTTGGACAGTTGTTTACTTTGCACAGCCTCGTAGCCGGTGATGAGCAATCTGTTGATTTTTGACTGTCTATCAGCGCATAGCACTATAAGTACACAGGAAGTTTCCGTTCGCTGAGGCCTGCATCCATACAGCAGTGAGGCGCTTGTCAGCTGTTCGTTACAGGTTAATCCAGAGTTACTCTGCATCAACTCTACTCAAAAGCTTTTCGCTCTAAGAGGTGTTTAACACTCGCTTCCGGCGATGTCAGAAGTAGCCAGTTTTAAATTACAACCGAGTGTTCCTCAGCTCCCAAGGACTTCAAAACATATGTGATGTAATCACGTTAAAAAAAGTGACATCTAAGAACGTCATGTCTCACCAATGGAGTCAAACGCGAAAGCAAAGACTCACATCTTAAGAGGATGGTGTAAAATTCCAGACTCGCTGTTTCCGGTTGTGGAAGACGGACTCCTTGTTCCAAACGCTGCAGCAAATCCCTTGCTCGTATTCCTTCAAAAGGTCGCTTCCCAAATGTGCACATTTCCCACACGGTTACTCCTGTAGAAAGATCAATTGATGGTAGCGAGTTTTTGTGTCAGACGGACAAAGGAGCGCAGTAAATGCATGTTTTTTTCTCTAGCCATTACAAGTTCAAATTTAATTCCAAGACTTCACTCATATCCCCTACAACTTGAACTCAAGTGTGGCTCTGAAATTCACTTCCTTATTTTCTCAGTTTCCCCTCTGTAGCAATTTAATTTGTGACAGAAACGCTGGACACCTACACGGTAACATCCATGATCTGCATTATAAACAGTAGATCCTTGGACGGAAATGATATAGGACGCGACTGAGTGCATATTGTGAGGAATAGAAAAGAATTAATAAGGCACCCAAAAAAGCCTTGGTAAAAAGCCTTGGTCAAAAACTAACGATTAACTGCTTCGAAGTAGATACCAAGCAGACTAGGTGGCAAAAGGCGCTCAGGATGCAATGTGTACGGCAGTGAAGCATCAGTGTTGAACACTGATGTCATGCTGTCGACGATGATGATGAAGCAATGTTTGATTGAATTCGGTCGCACAAAAGAACCAAAGAATTCCAGATTTACCGCAGCTGCTGTTTAAAAACGCCAAAAACGGTAGGAATACTTGGGGAACGGATAAAGCATAGACATGAAAGGGAAAAATTGACCTGACACAAGTTCGATTGTCACACGAAACCACTCAGCTCGGACAATATGTCAACCAAGAAAATGTGTGATAAAAACATCCTAGTACGTGTAGTCGCGGCATAAAACGTTTTAGGTTTTGCGCGTATGGATACACGTCTATCCGATTAGCCGATCTCTCGTTACAGTGTGGACCTCCTAAACATGGTCGGTCCTGAAAACTGCTGATTGCGATGGCGATGCGAATAGCTAAGTTACAGCAGAATGTAGTACATATGGAGCGTCGCCACAGAAAACCTGCGTGTGGTGAGTCGAATGCGACAAATCTTGCAGACTTGTGCCGTTCTAGTGGACGTGTAGTGAAGCTGAATGTGAGCTTTTGCGGGTGCTTGACCTAGATTATGGTAGATTGTTCTGCCTTAGGCTACTCACTTGTTCATTGTGACAGGTTGAACTGCATCCGTTTGCAGCAGATCCATTTCTCTTAAAAATTCATCTATAAAGCTCCCTTTTGTGGGATTTCTTAGGAGGTTGGAGACCTGGTTTATTTCTCTGTGGATGCTGACGTTAGTTTCGAAAGATTAACTAAACTGCGAATTTTAAATGTAGGTTCGCAGACCTGATGTGATCCAGGTTCGAGACGTGTTGATCACTAGAACATTTTTATTAGTTTGGAGTTGGATATCATAGTTACCATCCCCTCAGAACATTTAAGCAGGAACTAAATCAGTGTGTTGTCCCGCATAATCGATTTTGAAAACGTCAGTTTCGGTGAGGCATCCTGTAAATTAGCCCTCTATCGTCTAACTGTGGTCTTCAGTGTTCCATACACAACTTTTCATGTTCAACAGTCAACTGCTTATCACCGCCATCTTGTAAGATCAGGCAACAGGATGTTGTCGTTTTTCAATGGACTTGTCGTTTCAAAAGTAGCCCTCTTGTCCTGAGTTCGAATCCCTGTATTGTAAAGTGGGTGTAAAATACTGATGAGCTCCGATAAGAACGAAATTTTGTTCCGATATTTCCCCTTCTGCGGTAAAATTATTTCACAGATATGGTTTCTCCTTGCATACCGACTACAGCAGTAGCTGTTTGTCATGAGAATCAGGATAAAATTGTCTTTTGGTGATGCCTCCATCTAAAGATGCCAGTCATCAGTCACTCTGTCGGATGAGTCACTACAACAGGCTACTGGATTCTTGCACTGGTTGTACACTTCAATGAGTGCACCAAGTATTTCTCCCCGGCTGCACTTGGGTTGGCAGGAAAGCTCACGATGCCAAAGACCAGGACTCACCATACGACCAAACATCGGACTTGCTGGAAAATATTCGGTCTTGAATACATTCTATGGCCATCCACTTGATAGGCATTCGGCCACCACTTGCGTGGTATTCACTTTCAATACAGTCCAAGCATTTGGCCAAACCAAAGTCCGTGATTCGAACCTAAAGCAAAAGAAGATTCGAATGTAAACCAAGGTGGTTAGTTGAACTAATCGAGTAGTCAGTCACCAAGTGCTCTTTCTATCAAGACATGTGTGATTCAATTCATTAGCCCGAGTTTGATTAGCCTAGTGGATAAGATACTAATGTTTGGATGACTGAGGTCGGATCCCGAATGGATGCCTTAAGACTGACAATGAGCCACTGTCCTTTGTTGATCCACGCACTAGTTGTTTTTGAGATATGTAAACTTCTGATACGGAATCAGTGTGGCTAGATGAAACTTCATAAACGTGTATCTAGAAACCATGTGGGATTTGGAAGACACGCCACGAAGATACTGATCGTTAGCCGTCCACGACGAACGAAACCGAGATTCAGAAGCTTTACAAATTACGGTGCGAGACCCGATCTGACGAATGGTTATTTGACCCGAAACCCCACGAGTTTTAGAATTTCTGGCATGCGCTTCGTGCCAATCACTTTCGAAAGGATAGATATCACCTAATTGGTGATCCCCACCCAGACAGCCCCTCAGATTTTAGCGAAATTCTCCCAAGTACTGACATTTTCACCACTCCACTCTATTTAGACAGAATGCTGTGCACGAAGTTAACCAGCGCATTCAGCGCACTTTGTTGAGCCAGACACGTTGTGTATACTTGGATTTCTGTTTTCAAGACCTGCCTCCCAACAGTGAGTACTGTGCTCCAATTAAGCGACACCGTTTGAGTTTCGCATGACAAATCTAGGTCCTTTGATTGACTTCACTCAGCGACAGAGACTGATTGAAGATGATACATGTGTCCGACCTTGTGTTACCGGGTCACACCAACAAGAACTGATCGACAGGGAGTTCTCCTCAGAAAAGACTTGATATTCAAACTTTCCTTGTCAGGACCAGTAACTTCATATTTATGCCACCGCACACCCCAGAAGGTGTTCCGTTATGGCGAACTGTGTTCACCTACATCGGTTGTTTTACCCAAACCATTGGTACCATTTAAAAAACGTGGGATTTTAACTGTTTCTCCTTCTGGTCTCACCTATGCTTTTTAATGACAACGTAAGCATGGAATTCTCCAGAATTTTATCGATTGTATAGTTGTACGCCCACTGCTCGACAAAAAGTGTAAATGAGATGTCAACAGACGAACACGTAAGACTGAGCTTCACATTCCTACGGGGGTGTGAGTACAAACAGTAGTTCCCCTCAGGGTGTACAGGTTTATTCTTTACACGTAAAAAATAATTCCAATGGCCCCGAAAATTTTCATCATTAACGAGAACGTCCCACACTACATAACGCACAGCCACTTTGAGTAAAGCATAGTAGGTCTGTATCCAAATTGTTCAGGTGTGCAGGTAGTTCGGAATGTCACTGTTTGTTCATTGAGAAAATTGTCGGTGTGCGCGAAACAAGCGCCGCTCTAAGCACGTACACGAAAGCCAACTGTCTGCTGCTTAATGCAGACACTGAAATTTGGTGTTGTGCGCACCTTCCCACGAGTCCATAGACGAGGATAGCCAGCCGCATCAGGCAAGGTTTGCTGGAATTCGGCAGGTCTATAGCGAGTATCCTCTGAATCGTATGACAGTCAAGTGTCATCTTGGAAAACCTGGACGATACATGGCAAGCTGATGCACTAATGGCCGCAGCTAAAGCGGATGACTCTGGAAAGACTTGCGAAAGCTTTGAGCAGCCACGATTGGCTGTTTCTCTCGGACAATCGGAGACCAGATCCAGTGAGGGATGATGGCTGAGGGATTCGGCTACGATCGCAATCAAACTGCGTGGTGACGAGGTGCAATCAGTAATGGAAGGCCACTTCTTGGAACTTGTGGGTTTGATGACAGAGTAGATAAAACGGGTGACAGTGAGATACGGATAACCGAAACACACGTTTGTACGAACATTTAAGGAAGAGCTAAGATGATACCGCAGCTTGTTCCAATTGATCGTGTGCGTGATATGGCCGATGAGATTCAGGAAGTGTTAGTTTCAAAGTGAAATTGGACAATTCAGCGGTGTTTCTACGTAGTTATTCAATGAACCAGTTGAGCAGTTGTTGTTTGGTTGTCGACCACATTGTTCCTAATAATCGGATATCGATTTAGTAACACAGGACTCACTAGCGGGCTGTTTGTTTTCAACCAGGTTTCCGTCATCTTGGGTGACTGCAGGCTAAACAATGTGCCTCGGAGTCCGCCTCTAAACGAAATGAAATCTCAAGCCGCATCTAACTGCAGTCAGTCTGGATGTATTGATTTCCGGCTCCCTATGGAATATAGCATGCGAAGCATTAACACGGCTCTACTCTTTCTAATTTTCTTATGTTCCCGAATGTCAAGCTTTTCATTGCGCGCATACATCCTCCTCTTTTTATCCCTGGCCGGGACTGTTAGCCAGAAAATCTACACAGTAAATTTTGTTGCTTATTTTGCCGATTCTGCAGGCACAAGCCATTCTTATATTCGTCAACGATAACGTTGATTAGTACCGAAACAAGATGGGTACTGTGCTTGCTCTCCAGTGATTAGTCATAACGAAGAACGGCAAAATTGCAGCCCTGATCATCACTCATTGCGCATGTTGAGCGCATATCAACTATGGCTGCTTTTCGGATCGATAGAGTGATCTTATTGGTGTTCCGCAGTCCCCTGGCCTGTAGCGTGATTGTGAATCCGTTCTGCGCGTCCCGGATTGACACTGATCGTAAATTCCGTAGACAGAGCTTTGCTAAGTGATGCCATAATTTGGGTGGGAGTACAACAATTTGAAAGAGATGTCATATTAAGCTTCCGCACACTGTAGGGGTTGAAAATCAATGTATGCTTAGGGTAACCGCAGTTAAACAGGATTCAGGTTATACTGATGGAGATTTCCCTTCTCTTGTAGACCGACTCCAAGTTTAGTTCATAGTCACTCATCATTCAAATCATGAAGCTGCTCAACTAGAACGAGCTACGGCTTTATCTTGACTCTTCCTCAAACATTCCTACAAACGTCAGAAAGCGGAATAGGATGTCTCATTGACGTGACACACAATGCTGGCATTCTAGTAATCTTAGTAATGTACATGTTCAGGATTCTAATGGCATATACCCAGAATTTCTGGTCATCATTTCTTCCAAAGTTGTTTGATCTGTCTCAGACTCACGCAGATACGCTGAATCAAGCATCCCACGAGAACTGGTCCACGGGATTTGATATCAGTCAGCTAAGGGACTTTTACATACCCTATCCATAAAACCTAAAGTGTCCCTTTGTGGTTTTTAAACTTCGGTCTTGGGGGGCACCATACTCGCGAAACTAAACAGCATTTGTTGGACTCCTTTTCACCGGCTGGGGAATGACTTGATGACGAAGCAAGGCCATACACGTCCAAACGACTGGAATATCAAGCAGACATTAACAATGTTACTCACCGGTCATGTTAACGAAAAGAAGAAAAAAATTCACTGATTTGATGTCGGAATCGCTGCTCAAACGCCCAACTTAGTCTTGTGTCTAACGTGAAAACACGTGCAATGAGGTGGCTTGCATTGTGCGCCAAACCTTGTTATTCAATTGTTCATTGGTCTCGTCGAGTAAAAAGGTGGAAAATGCATCTCTCTTTTCTGAGAATCAGGGGAGAAAATCTGCCAAGTTCCCATATTGTTCTACAACAGTTGCTACCATTTGTGTTATAACAAAAACCCTCAATCCGGTAGTAAATACTTTTGGGTGCTGCACTGCTGTGTATTCCATTCGAATATCTAATCTTCTTCGTGGGAAACCTCTTGCATCCATCTATTGGAAGGCATTTTCCGTGTTCTCTGCTTTTCCAGTGTATCGTTCTCGCACTACAAGTTCAAAAAATATGCCTTCTCCTTACTGGCCGTAAATCGTATTTTACCCACGCGCAGCCTGATTGTCCTCGTAGGCGCACCTCTCAGGAAGCATCACAAAGTGCGAGTCTCCCAGTGTCAGACAGAAACATTCCCTCTCGGAATTTCAACGCTTTCACTAGAGTCATTGGTGCCATCAGCCACCAGCTACGTCTGAGTGTATCAACACTGTTCTGCGACACTCGCAGATCTAACGACCGTGTCACTTGTTTCTAGTATTCCCACTGACCAGCACAGTGGATAGGTCGCCGAGTTGATGTACAGCTGTCATACGATCTCGGGGACATTCGCTGTCGCTCCATTCCATTTTCATGGACCTTTGGAAAATAGGTTTGATGCAGGTGGCCTACCTCGCTTATGGACTCATGAGAGTGGGCGCGCAACGTCACATCTCAGTGCACAAAGTAGAAAAGCTGGCCACTGGGTTGAGTATGGCATTCGTGTTTTAAGGATGCGCCCACGGTCGCTTCCAAAAACACAAGTGACTGCCCGGAATTGTCGAACTGGTCTCACAACGTATGTGGGGCACGCTTCGATGAGTAAAGGGTTGAGTTTTCGTACTAATCGAAGGTGTCGACGTCTCCAAGTCTTGTAGTATGGTGGTTGACCTAGCAAGGTCGGTTGAATGAAAAAGTATTCGTTTTTTATAAAGCTTTTCTGAGTCACATCAATAACACCGTTTTCGAGGGTACTACATTGTTAGAATACAGTTACCGAGTTAAAAACGCCACGCTTACTCAGCTACGTTCACCAACAGAAGCAGCATAAGATAAGTAGCTTGCGGTATACACGAATCAGCTGACGAAAGTTGGGGTATAAATTACCGGTATCATTCAGCCCCAAGTTTGCGCGCTGTACTGATGGCAGCAACGAGGGACTATCTGAGGAGTTAGCTGGCACTCCTTGAACAGTTTATCGTGCAGATCGAGATTACGCGAGAGAAAATGAACCTTGAAATTACATAACTTGATTGAGGGGGTGGTCAAAATGTCAAAGCGTCTAATGTCACGTTTTCACCATTAAGTTAGAGTGGACCTAGAGTGGTTGGTTACAGTTTTAATCCGTGACAACTGTCAGTCGATATGTGCGAATATTCGCAATCAGTTTGCTTTCGGGCTAAATAGAAGTACGCAGCTCTGTGTACGTTCATGAATACCTTGGTAAGCATCAATCCAGTTTTGAAGAAATTCTACCCATGAAAAAATGATGTTCAACGGTCTCGCATATTCTGTCTGGAAAAGGATCACATTGTTTTTTGTCACTTCTTCCCCTAATTCATTTCAGGCCTCCCAAAAACTTTCATCCAAAATGGCCTACACTTTCGAATGTTGAGCATTGGACTAGGCCACAATAGTAGACCATCTACCTCCTTCAAACTGTGGTTCTCCTTGTCTTGTTATGCAGATGCATTTTACAATTTAACATCATGTCGAGACCAGATATCGAACCAACTGCCGAATGTGGTCATTTGTCTTATCAAGCAATAAAATTATTTTCCCATCCCGTAGGTGACGGTTAGAAATGCTGAAATCAGCCGACTATAAGTGAGCGTGGCCCAGGGCCTAAAAATCAATAAATTAAACGACCATGTGTACGTTCCAACTCTACTCTGTTATGTGCCCATCAATGAGGGGAGGCCTGTGTGCATTTTTAGCTCGAAAGTGGCGCTTTCAGTCTGAAGATAACTGAACACTGAAGACAGTGCACCTACCTAGAAGGAATCAGCTCAACTCGACACGTGACATTGTTCGCCCACAATCCGCTTTGAGAACCACTTTGTGGACCAGTTTAAGACGTCCTTAGGCAACCGGAAAACGGTGGTTCTGTGTTCATAAGAATTTCACCCCAACCCATAAGCAGGCCTCAAGAGAGTTACTTGTCCAGAAGAACGATTCCACTAGATCCCCCGTTTATTCTCTCTTGTCGAAAACTTATACCTCTTACTTCCGTGTGTATAGCTCTTTTCCTGTTTCGTTAAGGTTGTCCTAGTAAGTCTACACCAGAGGGGGAGGAAAATTCTCTCCCACCCTCTCTCGTAGTAGTAGGTGAGTTATCAAAATCAGGGCCTATGAGGTGCCACGTGGACATGTGGTCACCAACTAATGCATCGGCGCAAGCAAGACAAATATGGTGAGACTCATTTACAAATTACACTGAGTGACACACACTAGAGACGCTCATTTATGATGTTCATCAACTAAAGTTGATACAGAAAAGTCTCTTCAGGTTTTAGTTGGCATGATTTTCAGGAAATCGCAATATACTTCCTTGATAGAACATACTACTGATGAAGTAGTAGGCCTAAACAGGTAAGCACTTGCGCACTCTGATCTATGTGATGCATGACTCTTTAAACGACAAGTGAACCAGATAAACCTACCGCGTACTTGCACTGCAAGTGAGCTTGAATCAAAGCTCAAATCGAGTTTTGAAACCAGTTTAACTGTACCAGGACAGGAGGACCACCGGCATTTTACAGATACCATACTTATTTCAAAGCAGTCATTAGGCAACAATGTCAAATTAGTGAACAAGTGTGTGCCACATGTGACATTTGATGTATCGTTCATTCTGGACGCATATGTGACTATTGCTTTCATAAATTACGTAGCCATTGATAGGCAAATGATCATTGGCTATATTTCAGTGGGAATAGGCCCTAAACCCTTCTGAAGCTAGCTGATTACTCAATTCATTGTGGAAAACTCCGAGCAGCTCTCTAGTAATCAGTATCCAGCAGGCTAGGTGGGCTGATGAACGCGTTCTCACAAAAAGGATGAGGAGAGGGAATTTTCAGTTCATGTTTATTCATGGTGTTGCCGTGCAACTGAAACAAATATTTTGTCTCACACATGAAGAACCATCCAAACTCATCGTGATGACCACGTTATACAAATTAACATGTCAGGTTGGAAAGACTTTTATAGAAGGGTTCTTTTCTGTTGTTGTATATCGTGACATCCAGCTGAGAGACCCAAACCACCGGTCACATAAGTACATGTTTACTTGCCCAGATGTGGTAGGTTAGGCGTGCCCCGTGGGAAATGGTCCACGTGTGATAACACGTTGGTCTCGGTGGTCAGAAGACAGAACAAGATACGACCGTTGCCTTGTGTGCATTCATGTACAAAACTTCCAGCTAAAATTAGTGATCCAGTCCAAGAGAAGGTGAAGAAACCTCCAAAGGTTTTAATTCAGTCTCTTCAAACCCAACCTGAACACTACTCACTTGATCCAAAGACTCCACCAACACGTTCCGCGCCGCCAAGTCGCGGTGAATGATACCCCTTGAGGCAAGGTAGGTCATTCCATTGGCTATTTGTTCGGCCCAACTAGCAAACATATGAACCTGTATCAGGTCAGTGTGGATTTTGACAAAATCCAATAAACTCCCAAGAGGTAGGAACTGTGTGACCAATTGGAGTTGCGCTGTGAGACAAAGGGCCAGAAATCGCAGACAGCAAGGATGATCCACTGTGGCCATAACCTGTGAGATGCGCAGGGAGAAAAGTCCATTTCAACTCTCCAATGATAAAGAATAAACGGAAAGCGGAGATGCTACGTGTTGGAAAGTATAATTTCATAAAGAGGAAGGCTTGTCCAAGGCAGGCATATATTTAGGTCAGGGACTTCAAAGTTCCGGGTAAATAAACCCGAGGTTCGTATCCATAATCAGCACCCCGCGAGGCTCATTTCATCGTGTGGTTTTGTGTAAATTATTGGTCACCAAAACATAAAACAGTGGCAAAAATGTGATCCAGGAATGGCACTACTTGAATAAAATAACATGCGAACGATAGCCACAATAGATAAACAAAATGTATTCCGTGGAAGTTTGGAACCGCGAAATGTTGGTTGGACTATTGAATACGCAGTATGGCTAAGAAAGGAATTAGCAAATCTGTAAGGTGGGTCGAACTATCCCTGCAATCAAAATATTCCATATCAGTAGATTTGTAGGTAGTATGTAGAAGTACCGTGCGAATACACATCCAGCGAGCCTTACCGTGGCGTTTTTCAGACAAGTATCCCACTCTACTCAGGATACTTTTGTGCATATGCGATGCTTCCGTTGATGAAAAGTACACGAAAACAGAGAAGAAACATCATTGGCAAATATGGCTTACCCACACAACGTTCGAACATCAGAAGGGGATCGCTGGCCTGCTGCACGCAGCCTGCAGCTTTCGGGTCAAATGGACAGTCAGATCACCCAAGATGATGCATCAAATAAAGTCATATGGAATTTTATCCTTCAAATTCAGTAATGTGGTTATCGATAGGCGTAATTCTATTGTTATACCAACGGAAATGCTAAAAAAAATCGTGCTTCAATGTCTTAATGGTTCAGGAAGGGATTGCAGTGAATCGTGCGTCTCGACGCATCAGCTGAACAGAAAAAAAATCGTCTTCGAAAGGTTCCTCTCTCTATGTGCATGGTTCCGAAAAAGAATGTCTTGTCATACACTAACTGGATGACACTCCCTTAGATCAAACATCTTTAATATCCACAATTATTTGCTTCCATTCTCTTTGGGTGTATCACCGAAAAGGTGGAGTTTCTTGACTCCTTACTTTTTGAACATCTTGGCTCATTAGGAACCGCGGCTTTACAAAGTTGAGTAGTTGGAGGAAATTCGTTCTAGGAAGGCAAACTCATCAGATATAATTTGCTATGAAAATATATGTATGCAAGTAACCTAATATCGTGAGCAAAAAGCAAAAGAAATTCTGTGGGAATTTGACAGTCTGTTCTCAGTCAATTCGTTGTCTTGATTCCCAACATAATGGTGGTAATCCAAACGCGAATTACATTACTGCATTTCTCTTTATTTGAAACCAGTGATCTGTCAACGGAGGGGGGAAGGACGTTAGGGCAGACGAGCCGAAGGGTTAACACATTACCAGATGCATCTACCGTGTCCCCAAGGCCTACAGTTTACGAGCTGGAAGAAGCTCAGTGAAGCGTTACCGATCGATCTAGAAGTGCAATTGCGAAGGATGAATTTGATCGTCGCAGAAGGCGTATAAGTTGGAAGCTGACTGAAGAGGAAAAACTCAGCTCTATGGTGACAGCAGCTAGCCGGTCCGCACATCACAAAATTGACTGACTTCCTCGGTCTGACCATTCAAGCTACTTCAAACCAAAAGCTTGATAATGTTCATAGACCACCTTGCTGGACAACGCCTGCCGTTTTCCACGTTACTATCCTGATTTAGCCCACACATACAAAGCTTTGTCAGATGGTCCATGAATAATCTGTTCTTTCGTGCATCAAGTAGATTAATGTCAATTACAAATGGAATTAATTTTGAAAAGGACTGACAATGTGCTGAATCTCCTGGGACTGCTGTGCCCCATCCAAAATGGGAAAATTATTCGGGTGCTTTGTACTCAAACTAGGTGCCGACGCTGTTGTTCCGATTATCTTTCCAGAGTGAAATCAATAACATTTCGCACCCGACTGGCATAGGACTGCTCCACTGAATTCCAGCTCAAATACGTTTCAAATAGAAAAAATTTCAGGGACCTTCTCCGTCTTTATGGGTGTTGGGCTACCCCGGAACTCGGGATGAACCTTTGTGTTTACACTATGTCCTTGTACGACAAAACTGAAACTTTCATGCACCGTCCAATGGAGTGCTGAGACTAAATCTTAAATGAAAGAGGAGAGTGCCGCTGCTGTCAAAAAAAAACCTTGTTTTATAGACTAACAGTCGAAATCCTCATTAAATCAAATGCAATTTTGGAAGCATAGTATTTTCTTAGGGTTACTCTGATTTTTTCCAATGAATAGCAATTGTAAAATATTTTCAAATGTGGGTGAAACTCGCCTTAGCCTCCTCAAGCAATTCTTTGTTTGTTTGCGGGTCCGCTTCATCTGTGAGTACCTTGATTGCGACTGGAAGTTCAACACTAGGAGCGACGATCGGGTGAGACTTTGCAGGACTGATAGATTGTTTATTTGCGGCATCGATGTCGGGGCTAAGGACGGAAGGTTTTTCCGATAGGGTTCAACACTAGGAGCGACGATCGGGTGAGGCTTTGCAGGACTGCTAGATTGTTTATTTGCGGCGTCAACGTCGGGGCTAAGGATGGAGGGTTTTTCCGAAATTGCGTCTAACTTGTCACTCCAATCCATCGAATACGTTGTACTCGGTGTACGAACGCATTCGGGTGAGGTGACAGACAGAGTTTCTACGGATGGGGCCGATCGATTCTGTGGACGCCATATGCCACAGAATACGGTACCAAATGCACCAGAACCGATCATCGGTCCACGAACCAGTTGGGATTCGGTTATGATACGCAGGGTCGCCATGTTCGGTTTGCTGGTTGCGCGTCTCTAGAGGGCGGTATATAAAATCAATCAAAAGATTTCTTTTCCAACATATTCGCTAGATTATAAAAAACAGATCACTTGAAGGATTGAACCATTCGAACAGTAATAGTTTCCTTAGATGTGTTTTGATACAGCATTTGTTTCGTGAACCTCAGGAAAACCTGCAAAACGGTGGTGTAGCAGGTCGACTACAGGGAACCCTTGAGTCCACTCCAGAAAAAAGCCAAACTCCTTGTTCCCTCGAGAAGTAATATTAGCTTACGGTGGCTTTTGAGCAACCAAATCGATTGAAAAACATCCCAGGCAATGGATGCACATTGGTGTTTAACTCCAACTACGTCCAATTAACCAACAAGCTTGATTCAAGTGAGCTTGATGATTCTGGCGAGTTTCAATCGGATGGGATCCTTTCTATCAGTAGTATCACAAACAGTATATAGAAGGTATACTTTAAAAACTTTCCACAGCACACACCTTAAAAAATGTCGGAATCGAGTATTTCATTTTTGAAAATCAGTCAAGTTCACTCTAAACACTACTCTACTTCGCAGATGAGCATTTTATTTCACATAATCCTTGTTGTCGGTGTCAAGGATCACTGTACAGTTATCAAGAGGTTGAGTGATTCGAAATCTGTGGAACCTTTTCATTATTACCTATTTCTAATAAAAATGATTGTCCTTTTTTATATCCGCCTTACTTTTGCAGATGAATCATTGCAACCAATTTGACTAAGTTATAGTTGCGATCTGGTGATACCCATGGTTGACAATTCATTTGCCAAAGTTGATGATACATGATTATCAAACAGACGAACATGCTGTCATCGACTTTCTTCATATAAGTTATCTTGAAAGGAGGAATGTCATGATAGAATTTTATTTGTTCCTTGTCAACTGTTCCTCTTTGAAAAGGCATCCATCAGTACGTGTTTCCTCCACGTACTGTACGCTTATTGTTTGCACTTTAAAACATTTTTTCCCGGTCGAGTCTCTCCTACACGACTCTAACTCCTTTCCAATCGGTTCCAGAATGGGGTCTGATATGGGTGATTTCATTTGTTTGTAATGATTGAGCTTATCAGTCGATAGTATACACCTGAAAGCCGTTTCCGAGTCATCAATGATCTACACAACCTAGGATTCCACGACGGCGTTAACTTCGCCAAATAGTGTTGGCAAATTTGACAGTTGGGAGCGGTGGTTTGAACGGTACGCTTCCTTCGTTACAGGCTCATTAATCAATAATGTGGTTCATTTGGATATAAAGTTTGAAACTCGCAACAAACCTCGTCTTCCGTCAACAACATCTGTTGAGTCTCATCTTCCGAAGCAGAGGTGCGTGTAAAGGTCGACATTTGTCCCCATTCCAACGTAGTCATATATGCACTTTTCTTTGAGTTGTCATTGCCGGCTCTAGCAAACCGCTTCTGTGCACTTTTTCTAGACTTGTACACTGACGGATCTGGAACTCGTCCACGCGTCCACAAACGCTCGCACATTGCGTTCAACCGTGCAATCCGCGAGGAGCTGGAGTGTTTTGAATTGTCTTCTTTCTCCTCAGATGGCAGCTGTTTGGATACCGCCCAACAGATGAGGCAAGCAACCGAGGCCAGAAGCACACAGAGTCCTGTGAGGGCTGCAACAGCTCCTGCGAATTCGGTTGAAATGACGAAGTGTCTTTTGAGTTGTTCTATCGAGTCCCACACTGCATCCAACTCATCCCTTGCAGTCTCATTGCACATGATGGTTTCATTCGAGTCCAGGTGGAACTCGTGAAAGCCAGGATTAGTCTCGGATACATAGATGTAATTGGGGCGCAACGAGCATGCCAAATCGCCAGTGAGTGACTCGCGTATCCGATAAGCGTATCGTGAGGGACAGATGGAGGCGCACTGCCACTGAAGTGAAAATAGGAAACAGCAACTGGGTTCAAGTAGGACATAAGGTTGACGGAAACTCGAGGACTGCACCTACTTGATTAGCCTCAACAGGGGCGAAACCGGTCGTGAGCTGTCGAAGAGCTTTCAGCAACCTTGTGAGTAGTTGCCTTTGTGAAAACAGCAACTGCATTCAAACCCAAGTATTTGTCGAAACAACCTGACTCAGGGTCGTTTAGTTATGGTAGAAAACTAAAACAGTTATGAGCTTACATCATGTAGAGTAACTGATCGGGAAGGTAGGCATGCTACCAATGAGTTCACACGCAGCTGAAGGGACATTCATGCACCCCAAAGCAAAACACTAGACTACCCTACTATTCAGGGACATTTAATTTTACTTATTGTAATTCCAATGGTCACTAACCTACAAAGGATACAACAATGTGCGTGATTTCGGTTTCTGGTCTCTTACTGAAAGATAAAAGCATTTGTTGGTTGGCTATGACTGACCATCTGATATGTACACATCAGAAATGGATAAGAAACCGATTCAAAAGCTGTTGCTTTTTCTACTGAGCTGTTTCGACCTAAGCCTTCTCCCTACCCGTTAAATGACTAAACGGGCTTTACACCACCAGCGTGAGGAAGAAGGCCCTCGCTGCAGAGAATGTCAACTGATCAGTTACAGATCATTGGACAGGAAAGCAAAACTCTCATATGCATCTTAATTACAAAAACTGAACATCCATCTTCTCTTGAACGCGTCTTCCTGAACTTTCCTGAATATTCATTGAGTGTTGCTCCAGTCCAAGCAAATGCTACAGAGCGACTTTTCAAATCCGCAATAGATCTCCCTTTTCGAGCGAATTTACAAGAAGAAAAAATACTACTCTCATGCCTCCCCATCAGTAGTAACACCCTTATGCCAGGTCACCATCAATTCCTCGCTTTTCGTCTTATATTGTGCATACAGCTCATTGTCAGGTTTAGGTCCTCGCAACTAACTAGCCAAGAAAACCTTGCAGCTTTGTCAGATTCTGAGGCGGTGTCTAGCCTTGTTACTACCTTCAGGTAATACCCAGAATGCAAGAACTCTGTAGCAGCAAATCAGGAAATTCAACCGTCAACGCGGACAATCGTCCGCGGAACCAGACGTGTACCGAGTTGGTTTCTGAACGTCTACTGACAGTTGTTTCTGGGGGCGATAAAAAAAGAGAAGTCTTGACAGCGCAGCGACTCAACTCCAGCTTAAGGAAAATATTGAGTGGAATCCAAGGTTTTGAGACTAACTATTCCAAGTTCTTTGAGTAACCCAACAGGATGATGGGAGGTCTTCACACACATGGCGTTTTACTTATCCTAGCCGAAAAGAGGAGTGTATCACAGAAGAGGTTTTAGATTTCGCGGCATTATAAAAACCGCATAAATTAATATTATGGTCTCATTCAGGTTGGAGAATGAACTGTGTCGCCCTGTCTAGGATCCGTAGTAAATTGCTTTATGTATTCCATTGATCACCCATAATAGTGAGATCTATTTGTCATACATAATATATCTGGCAGTGTGGTTACCTTGGGCTTCGTGGTATGACAAGTTGTCATCCAACTTAAGGTGCCACAGCCCAAGTAGAACTAGATAGGGCAGTGGATGATGAATTGTGTACGATGATACGCAAATAGGGTTGTGAAGGGTTTGTTCCTGAAAACCCTACAACTGTCCACAACCAGTTTGGTCCCATTTCGGGTACATTGGGTTGGCACAAGGCCCAAGTTTTCCTCAACCCTATATCTTACTTGAACCCAACTTGTACGAAATTCGCTAATTACACTCATATGTACACCAAGCTCGTAGTAACAGTCTAAACTTAACTGAATCCCAGCTGAATTTTTCCGTTCATGGTATTCACCACCTAAATGTGTGGTGGTGATACCACCTCTTGTTTCAGTTGGTCAGGCACTCGCAGCACGTTTTCCTGAAGGAAACTACGTGAGGCAACCTTTGTGCTGCACGTTCACATAAAGCGAGAGATTCAGCTGGGATTCACTTGTGTTTCCCGGTAACACAAAATTCTTGTTTTCACCTGGGTATATTTCACAAATTACTTTGATTTTTTGAGGTTTGAAGTGACTAAATTGATTCGATTTCCAGACTTTAATGTCCTATGTACTTTTATGGAGGTCGAGATGCCACGAGCAATTTATGGTACCAGGTAGTTTCATAGTTCTACGGTTTCGTGGTGAGAAGTTTGCTAGTTGCATGCTTGCGAAAAATTTTTGAGGCCTACGCAATTGGATCCTCACAACTTCACCAAAATAGTTGACAGCAAAAGTGAGGTTAATTAAAGTCATGTGCCGTCCTAAATAATTGCCCTCCTTTGGGGCAGTGGTTGACTAAGAAAGACCGCTAAAAAGTTCTCTTTGTCAGAAAGTAAAACCGGATTATTTTCAGCACTCAATAGTGCTGATTGGTGATTATCTTTCAAAACCGTGCTCACATGACTCCCAAGATAGGCGATGCGTTTACGTATGGGCCTATGTATTGAAACAGCATTGTTTGAAATGCAATAACGGACTGGATCAAGTCGATAAGTCTGCAGTGTACGGCGTGTTTGCGTAATTTGGAAGTGACCTGCTTACTTTCATTACTATATCCGATGTGAATATTAACACCAGGTGAGGGCGGCACTCACACGGCAAAGGTAAAGAGGCCACCATCTTGCGTACAGAATTAATTCCTCACTCCGTGTCACGTCTATGCAGCTAAAACTGACACCCAGTTTGCCACACCTCAGCCTAACGGAATAGCAGTTGATACCCGTCACTGCCATTAGTGAGTCCTTTGTGTAACTTTCACTGTGGGCGGGACTTCAGTTTCATCCTACTGGAAGGGTATACACTATTGATTAGACATGCGAGTAGTATCCGATCATGTGGTTTAAAGCACCATCACTCCATTTGAAAAAAAGTTTTTTCTTCAATTTTTTCGCTTTTTTTCAGTGTTATTCACCCTTGTTTAGTATTTGAACAACTTTTAAAAGATTTCGGATGAACGCTTGCGGATACTGACTTTCCAGAACTCTACGAAGAATTTTCAGCAACCTTATGAGTAGTACATCACGAATATACGTGTATCGCGATATCTCGAGTATCGTAACGACTGAAATATTAGGGGGCTGGTGCACCACATTCAGTTACCTGAAAACATCACAAACGAGAGATTCAGCTTGGTTCCAGGTGAGTCTCTCGCAAAACCAAATTAGTTTGTAACTGAGTGTATTTCTCTACAAATGAGGCTTTTACTTTCCTGTCCGATAGCTTGCAAGCGCTGGTCAATAGAGGACTATGACGCAGTCCAAACACCTTTTCCTCTCACCAGTACCGAAAAGGCATTGGTTTAAATTGGTACCAATTGGGAGGGGGGTTCTTGTGGACACTGAAACGAAATGTCCACGTGCACAAACCGTGATATCCGTAATCGCACAACCACGTGAGGTGTGGAAGAGACCCAGAGGCGGTCAAGCAATGACTTGGCAGCGAAGTGTGAAATCCATTACCAGCAAACTCAGTTGCGCTGATCATTGCTGTCTCCCTGGATATGGACCTCGAGATGGGCCATATCAATGGTTAGAGACAATGTCAGACAAGGCCCAGTAGCACCCTCAATGGCGCCCATGCGTCCAAGCTATTGCCTTCAATTCATAGCTTCCTTCCCACTCTCCCCACCTAACAGTCCACCTGCAGAGCTGTATTTACGCACTAATTTATCAGCTCTCGTCTCCAATGCGCAGCTACCTACCCCACCTTTCGAATCATCGGTGAACGAAACTGTGGCAGCTACAACCACTGTACGACGAGTACGCGGTTATTACAGGTGACAATGATGAGGAATCGACAATCAGTCTTACTGACACCAAACACATGGACCGTAATTACGTTCGCAAAGAACGGACAAGCAGTCACCAAAGTTTACGTCAAAATCACATAACGAATACGCTCGCTCCTGATTAAACAAGACTTTATTGGTGATTCCTGTAGACCAAGCTCGCCTACAACATGCAGGTGTAATGCGTGCACCCTAACAGTGACTATATCAACGCTTTCTTCCCGAAAGCAACATCAGATGTAATTTAAAACTAACCAGGTGAAACTTGAAGTCCCAGGGCACATTGCAACTCAAACAAGACAATCATAGCACTTGAGGAAGCCTCGTGTTTAACGGAAAAACTAACCTTTGTGTGCGCTGCATTCAAGTAGAGTTTCACACGCCTGCATCGATTACAGTCAAAAGGAGATGGTCCACGGCAGCCTGCTCGACAGAACGGATGACAGGGATAACAGTCGAATCTGCTTTTGAACTGTGCGCTATGTTCTAGACCCAAATCGAGCAGGAACTGTGGTGTTTTGCTTTGTTGTGTTTGTTGTCCGTGAGGTTCATTGAGGCTTTGACGTCGAGGTACAGCATAGGTGTCTGTTCGTGAATGACGGGTAGAACGGAACGCAAATTTTAACAAAACTCTTGAATCAGCAGAGTGGTATGACTGGTAACCGATATGGACAGAACTATTAGGGAGAAGGGATTGCCCGTCTTGAAATCAGACTATTCTATTCTAGTAGAGTGAGCCTTTCAGGATAGTCATTTGAACAAATTCTGTAAGTTTCAGTAGTCACGCTTTCCCCTGACTGAATTCTGAGACCACCCGAGTGTTCCCCTATACTTCCGATGCAGATGGATGGAATCCAGTGACAGTTGGTGAGAAGGTGTCGGGTGAACGTGCAAGTTACGCCAGCTCTTAAGAAACTCAGAGGTCAACTCGGTCGGGATGGTCGAGAGGGAAGTATCTGGTTCGGATCACACACGCACACCCTCAAGTTGGCTGCTGACTTCCATCCTGACAATCTGTACTCGTCTCTCGGAAATAGATAACTAATAGGCTTCAAACTGGGTGCGGCAAACTTATGGGACCAAGCGATGTTACTATCGTCTTGTCTTGGATGAGACTGGATGAGATTGTCCAGCGACCGTGTCCCAAACACACCACAAATGGTCTTGTCCTGTTTTCTGTGAAGGTGGAGATAAACTTTTGTCTAACTCCCTCACATTTTCTTGTTGTTTTAGAGGGGCCATTATTTGTGTTTCGGTTGAGGACAACTTCTGCACCTGTTGTTGTGTCAGGATGCTTCAAGGAGTGCCACAACTACGGGGATTAGGGGTATATTGGTCGTTGGCTATCTAGGCGTTTTCAGCAACCTCGTGGGTAGTCTCCTTTATGAAAAGATACTGCGATACCTTGAATGTCTTATCAAGTGAAACATGAGGCGGCCTGTGTGCAGCACATTCAGTTGAAGAATATCATAGACGAGAGATTTAGTGGAGTCTCTCGTGAAAACCAAATTGATTTGCAAAAGAGTGTATTTATCGAAATCAGTCCATTTTGGATCCAAGTAGAACCTAGGTTTGACCTAGGTTTGCGCGTACCTGATGAGCCCCAAGAACAGGGAAACCGATTGTGGGCTGTCGAAGAGTTTTTAGTAACGTTTTGAGTAGTTTCCTTCATGAAAAACCCAGAACTCATTTTTCAATGAACAGGGAGGCGTAACTGTGATGCCATATCTCTTAAATACCTCATCAACCTGTCTGCGACGCACAACTTTTAGGTATTTCAGTGCTCGTATATACACACCAGAGCAATGCCGCAGGAGGGGCAATTTAAGGCTAGTGATATCTGGCTGAAGATAACTTCTTTGTGGTAGCGGTCATACCTGCAACAATTCATGAACTACTTCCATTCGCTTGGTTCACCTCTCCTGACAACAAATCAAGCAGTAATAAGAACCAGATTTTTTAGGGACATCCACATTACTGACACGAGAGCAGTTTCACCGCATTGCTTCGTGGACTTCTCCTCCGAAACTACATGGAACCAAAAAGCTTGCGGAATGCGCAGACTGAATTCTAGCAATATGCATTTCGATAGGCAGAAACTTTATCCTACAGAATGAAATCAAAGTCTCTCTGGTGAAATCCATGAATCAATCTTTGATCGAATCTGCAGGAGTTTGTTGAACAAACTGGGTAGAGCAAAACAAACTTTGGAACGGCGGGATCGAACAAGCGTCGAAGAAACCACAGCAGAGCAGTCTGGATTGTTAGTAATCTCTGTCCACTAACCCGAACGGACGTGACAGGTTCAACTACGGCAAATGTCTGTATGAAGCGCACATTGGGTGATGAAACGACCACAAGTCAGAAGGTTCAAACTTACCTTCAGGACAAAATTCTACGCACCTTCCGTTGAAACTTGCATTCAGACAGCGCTGACACTGATGTGGGGCTGGCCCGTTACATGTACTAGTCAAGTCTGATTCGGAGCTCGACTGGTTTTGTACTGCACATTGATTGTGACATGGTAAACAAATACGTGCCAAACCGTAAATCAACGGTTCTGTGTGTTTCAAAATCCAAGTTTTTAAAGTTAACTGAGCTTGTTCTGGCAATGGTCGTAACATTGCAGCATCGGTGCGTGACCAGGGGTCGTTCTGTCCCCCGATTCCGGTGCTCTTGTTCCGGTAGACATTGGAAAAATTTAGATGATTGAGGTGTCGTAAACTTGAACCGCCACGTTGGAGTAGATTGATGACATGCATGAAAGTTCCGGCAGGACATTCCTGGGTATGAAAATGTAGAACATATCGAAAGTACAACAGTACAACAGTACAATGAAATCTTTTGGTGAATCAAATACACAAGTAAAAATCCCCGATATTCCACTTTACCCGCTTGGCTTTAAGGCATAATTCTTTCCTCGTGAATGCAAGTGAGTTCAGCAAACGATACATCACCATTAAAATACTACTTATAACTCAAATATTGATGTCTCTGTTCTCAGCAATTTGCCCGCTATTTTAGCCGCCCTTGTAATAATCTCTTAAGTTGTACTGCAATTGTGATTAAACAACTGGGTTGCTCATAGACTTCAGTGACCTTATAGAATTGATTCCTGCCCTGTCCTGGTATTTACAACTGAAGATGTTGAGGAAATCGGTTTGCTAGATCTGAAGTCCATCCATTTGCAAAACAAAATGGTTTTCACGACAGACTCAACTGAATCTGTCGTTTATGATGTTCTACAACTGAATGTGTTTCAGTTGGCAGGATATTCGAGCGAGATATCGCAGTATATTTTCATAAAAGAAACTACTCACAAGGTTGCTGAAAACTCTTATGAGTTAAGATCATCTATTTATCAACTCATTGACTAGATATCCCCGATATTGAATCCAGTTGAGTTTAAAGGAAGGTTCACTGATCAACCAGTGGTTGTATAGCATAGTCAATATTTATATAAGATAAGAAGCACTACTGAATTCCGTCAGCTCCGGAGACCAGAGCTGCAATGTGGATAGAACAGCTCAGCAGCTTCTTTAGACCGTCTTAGCTAGGGATTCAAGCTTTCCAGAAAAATCCAAAACCATTGTAAAATGGAAACATATGAAACTCGTTCTTTACTAGTATTGGCTTTTCGATTCGGATCCTTGTGCATAAAGCGACAAAGTGACATTTGTCTTTTGTTTGATTTTCAGTTCGACCTCCGTGTGCTCATAGCTGTTTCAGTCGAAAAAGCGATATTCAGATCTTTGCTCGGGATTGAAATCACCTTCCGTTGGGTGATCTTGTCCATGAGGGGTAAGACCTTCTGAGAAATGAAAGCCCTCTAGAGATGAAAAACGAAAAATGACTTCTTCTGATATGTCGTCCGAATACTCTTCTGTATTGGTGACTAACAAAACAGCTGTCTCCCGGCCTTTTGAACCGATACATTTAGAGCTGACAAATGAGGTTTGGGGCAAAACATTGAACTCACCTCAACGCATTCCAAATAGGACGTGTTAGCAGATGCCAACGACCTCAAGGCCGTTTGTCTGCAATAGTTACATCCACCGGCTCCAGGCCAATTGCCCGGACCAGTACACATACGGTTCGACGTTGTCTCATTTGTATCGATCTGATCGTCATTGTGATGCACAACCGATGAACCAGTGACTAGTGGGGTCACTGGATACGAACAAGCTGGAGAACACTCGTAACACCTTCCGTCAGTTTGATCGAGATACTTCTCAGGTGGACACGTTTTTCGACAGTATGGTCCGTCCTGTTCAGAAAAGAGTAGTTTGTAAAAAAGTCTTGGCAGCTAGACGTGGACAAGTGTTGAGGCTTGTCTGAGTGTGCAAGGCTGCAGGGTTTTGCCTTAAATTCTGTGAGCAGGCCTTACTTTTGCATCCAACCCTGGGTCAATGTTTAACCTTAAGGGATTTTTTTATCGGGTGTTCACTGAATATGGCGGGATAAAACGTCTGCAGAGGCTATCTTACTTCCTGTAACCATATCATACCAGTCTAAGTCCGAGACATCCAAAGTGAGAGGTTAGTATCGCGTTTCGTCCAATTATGGTCGAGTGGCAGTATGTTTATTCCCGAAATCTGTGGCAATTGAACTCAGTTTGGTTGGCAAAAGAGTAAACAACATCAGGCGATATATATGCTCCGATGAATAGTTTCAGATTCACCGAGCTGTTGAAGAGTTCGAATGGATTTTGTGTAGTTATTTTCTGCTCAAATGAGCTGCGGTCGAGGCGGCAGTGTCACGTTGTTTCACCGCAGAATGTCCGAATAGCTTCCAAATTCTTACAAGTTCCTCACAAAAAAGTGAGAATTGTGGAGAAGAAGAAGGAGGTGCCCGAACCGCTGGACTTTGCAAAGGTAAACTTGAAAGCTTCAGTCTATTTTAACCAAATTCTAATGGTAAACGGTGCTGTACAGTTTTCTGAGAATGCAATCTGCATGATAAGTTTCATGAGACGACGTCCTCCAGTATCACTGAACTTATATTTATGATTTTCAAATGTAGCAACCTGTTTCTTGCCAAAAGGCGATCGACGTACTGTCTAGTTACTTGGTTAGCTTTGTTTTTCAACGTGCTTACCTATACTGATCTTTGTTTTGATGCTGAAAAAGTGAAGAGATGGCTAAAGACTTCGCCACTGTCACAGTGCACCTCGCACTTCGTTTGGTCTCTGATATCCAATGGTAAAACAAGAGGTTTTATTAGGTCAGATTTTTAGCTGCAGGATCTAATGCACGAAGACAGAGCTTACCTCCAAACAAGTGAGCAGTGTTATGAAGCCAAATGATTGGTCTGCACCATTAGAACATGCAATTTTAAAAAGTATCATTGATTATGACTTGCATTTTCCCACACCTGTGAAGATATTCTTGTCATGCAGTCATGAAACTCTCCTTAGCGGTCACTTTGCTCTCTTTTTTTGAGAGATAAACTTCTACTTCTCTGTAATGCGCTCCTCGGTGGTAGTCCCGTAGAAAATTCGTTTTTTTCCAAATCACGTGAGTGAAATCCGAAAGAAATGTACTCACTACTCACTCTGAAAGTTTGACTTTTTCACGTGACATATTGATTCATCAGTTTAGCTCTGATACACAGTTGTTCATTTTATGCATCTAACTAGACTCAACGTAAACGTTAAAACAACTAACCTTCACACCTAATCCATAACAAAAACTATCCTCGTGGTACCTACCTTTCGCTCAACACACTTACTATGCAGGACTGGGTATTTTCACCACAGTACTTCGAAGTCTACTTGCAAACTTTGGGTATTTTATAGGGACCTAATTCTGAGAATTTGCCTCCCCTTGGGCCTGTCGAACTTCATGAACTGAGGCAGAAAACTGAAGGACGCCCGATTCTATATCATGTCGAACTAATGGTTGATCTTCAATCAATTAGAAAATGTTTGGGACCGATTGGGAAGTCATCGTTCCAGAGGGGTTTTGTAAACAATCGGTGGATTTATTGCTGGTTAACGTTTTGCTTTTGACACAAACGCTTCGTCAGGCCAAGTGAGTAAGTAAGTAGGTTGATTGGGTTTTAAGGCAGTCAGGGAACCAATCCGTGAGATTCCTTATGACTAGTGACTTGATCTGTGCTGCGTGTTCAGTCTGATGTTCCTGTTGGTTGATTAGTGGGGATGACTAAGATTTACGATAGATTGGTTAGGGGGGATTCGTCTTTATGTTAAGCCCGGATATTTCGTCCTTGCTCCTTCAGTCTAGGACACCTTAGTGGGAAATTCCTCTTGGGGTCGTTCACAGATTTGTTTCACCTGTGTTCGTCCAAGGGTGCTGGGACAATTGGTTTGGAGATAGGGGGTGGGGTGGTTAATTGGATCTAACTCCACTTTTAGACCCAGGCCATTTCGCTTTTGTGTCAAAAGCGAAACGTTGCCCAGCAATAAATCCACCGACTGTTTACCAAACCCCTCTGAAACAAAGTTTGATCTACTGTGTGGCCCCAACAAAGATTAAATTTATTGGCTTATCAGCATAGGTTGACTTCGTTTGAAAAGACTATTTCGGAGGACCGTTATCTGCAACCGCTATCTGATGCGTCCAGTAATTCGTGCAAAAGTGACCTCACCAATAAGAAAACAATACTCCTAACATAAATTGAAATGAGTAAGTCCGAAGTTACTACCCACATGATATCCTACCGGCCAGTGACCATGTCTCATCCACCCTTCCGTAGAAAAATCACACTTACGGCTTATCGGCAAGAGTGGGTGGAAGCTCTGTGGTTTATGGAAGACCAGCAAAGTGGACTAACAGAGAACACTGTCATGAGGCGCGTACAGATCTTCAACAGAACTCTTTCACAACTACCAGCTGCAACCTGCGTTTGGATTTCCATGTCACTGAGAGAAGGTTGAGTTGAATCTCATGCCATCAGTTTTCCTAAAAATGGCGGTCCAGAGAAATCGCAGGATTTGTGAACTATTCAGCTTACTTGAACCCAGCGACAAGGACCGTTACACTGATCAGCACCTGGTCCATAACACGCATTCAACTTCAATTCACACATCGAAGAACAGGCACTGCACACGCGACTGTCCAACTCGGGCATGGATTCATCATCGAAAGTACTGTCTGTTGTTGAGGTCGTTTCCGACACGCGTGCGTCATCTGGAGATGTTGTTGAACCAATTGGCGAGGCGGTGACATTGCGAATGGCCGAAGAGCTTGAATGGTTCAGATGATGAGTAAAATGGCCTTCTACCATGTAGCAGTTATTGACACAAAGACGTGACCCATCTTCGTGAAACACGGACCATGAGCGACATTTCCTACAGAGGCCAGGTCCGGGACCCCAGCATCCAGATTCCGTGGAACATTCCTCGGCACATTTGGCAGCCTTGCCGCCTGGACCCCCAAAGAGAAAACGGGAAAATATTTTGACCCTAGGTATGTCATATGTCAGATGTTATTCGGAAAACTCCGGAACAAGGCTAAAATTAGTAAACGTACGGGCCTGCTAGCAAACTTACTCACGAAGAACGGCCTAAATGGCAATGCCTTTACCAATTTTGCAACCAAGTGCCACGGCGGAAAAGTTCGTTTTACATTGAGATAGAATGGAGCGTTTAAGTTAGCGGGGGGATTATGTAGTCTCTTTTTTTGAGGCCAAAAAAACAACCACCGTCCTAATTAGTAAACGTACGGGCCTGCTAGCAAACTTACTCACGAAGAACGGCCTAAATGGCAATGCCTTTACCAATTTTGCAACCAAGTGCCACGGCGGAATAGTTCGTTTTACATTGAGATAGAATGGAGCGTTTAAGTTAGTGGGGGGACTATGTAGTCTCTTTTTTTGAGGCCAGAAAAACAAACGACCACCGTCCTCAGTACTGGGACTGTTTCACTTTGAAAAGGTCACTGTTTCACAGAAAGTACTTCACAGTGCACTGAAAGCCCGATTTTGACTCAGCTTTGGGTGCACTTAACTTGTATTACCAACGCTTTTCTGATCAACCTGTTTCTGAGTCGATGGTGGTGTGTGGAGTTTTGGTAGGCTTCACTTGAGATCTCGTCCTATCAGTGGAGTCAGTCTAAGCTAAAAAGCGAAATTCGGGTTGGTAATGATTCTCGATAATGATTAAACCGCCACACAGTGATTCTCAGCTGTTCAGCACAGACTGACCTCACTAAAATGACGAATGATTAGTTGAAACTTACCAAATTCCCCACACGTAACACACTGAAAGCTTAACTTCAGACTCCAGATTTTGGGAGTTGTTTTTTTTTTCGGTTTGGGGCGTAGCATCATTCTCCAGAACTATCCTCCCCCTGAAACCAGCAAAACTGGTATTTTCTTATAGATTTTTCATTCTGGGAAGACCTAAAAACATTTGTGTTCTCTCTGGATGGAACCGACCAACCGTGAATAGTCTTTTGAAGCGGATTGCAAAACATTTGAATTCTCTGGAAGGATCATTTCAACTGGGTGTCATCTCTTCTAAGGACGAGTTTACCACTGAAGTGTGCTTTGAGGAGGGACAATATCTGCCATACATATCATTCAGACTAATCTTTTCACCACTGTATGCACCATTCAGGTTTCCAGGTGATGGAGTTCAGTGCTTTAGTCTACCTTTTAGTTTCCTCCTTATATGGAGTGATTCGAAACACGGAAGTTGTTTTGGATTTTCTGGATCATTCTGAAACTTGTATGATACTCATTTTGTGAATACCTCTCACTGTCACTTCACTCAAAGTAGAATAAGACGTGGCCCTCAGCGGTCATTCTTCAGTCTGACTTTTTTTATCTTTCTATGCAGCACCATTCAGTATGGTCACAATCAACCCGGTAAGCATTCTCATGTTTTTCTACTCAGCCACAATGTGCCACTCCTTGGTTGGACCCAGTGGCCTGTCAATCGGCTCATCCACAGACTATGTCTTAATATGGTGATTCATTATACTTATCGAGAGCATAACATTAGTGTTCAACACTGGTGCTTCTCTACCGTTCAGTTATGATTTATTTGAAGGACTTATTGTGCGGAAAAGAATAAAAGTGGACGGTGACAGGGCTTGGCATTCGACTACCGCACTCATATCAGGGTGCCTATACATCCGAACACTCATTCAAGCCATCCTGACAAAATCTATTAACACTGAAATCATTCAGAACGACTGGCAGCTAAATCTTGCAGCGTCTCTAACGACGCGTAGTGGGCATCACGCGATCCCTATCGTGGAAAGCAAGTCGCAACCCCGATATTTTGTACACTTTTATACCCCTCCGCCAGATCAAGTGTTGACCACCTCTCAGCTTCCACCACTCCGAGTAGGACAGAGAAACAGAAATCTCTTCGGAAGACGATGGTTGGATATGCTGAATCATGGCCTAACCAACGCACCTTTTGATGCCGGACACGGTTCACTGCAAGTCCTTGGGGTAAAACCGAGCTTTTTAACTGCATGGTTACAGATTCACTGACACCAACACACTATGGTTATGGTTCTCAGACAACGGTGTTTGAAGACCTGATGACGTCTGCGTTCCTCTGCTTGAACAAGCCAAGTCCCACAGTCGTGCAACAAATTAGCCCGTACTGTAGCATGATACACACGTGTTTAGGTGAACATACACGATCCGAGCCCTGAAGATTCGCTCGTATACCTCAATAAGTCACACTACAGTCAAAAATAATACAACTTCCAAGATAAGTAAACCGATCCACAAGTTTGAGTGCTTTCACTTTGGATTGCAATCGGCGTGTCCAGTGACTGCATTTCCAGGAGCATGACTTAAAAATGTGTGGGAACAAAGTGCATGCTAAAGGATGGGATGACTTTCGTCAGTTCATCCAACAACAGTGCACTTTCTTCTCTTTGAAGACGGGTACGATGACGTCTACATATTGCAGATCAACAACGATTTCGTCGGCAGCAATTTGAACACCAGTATTTTGAATACCTTTCAGCGTCTGCCTCATTAACTCGTCAGTCAGGAAAGTAAATGACGATGGAGGCTGGGAACTCCTGATATATACCAATTTGTGTACGGAAGCTTCCGGAAATCTTGGAATACAAAGCACTTATTATGTTCACAAGCCTCCAGTGCATTCCTTGCCGAGCAAGCGTGTTAAGGGGCACAGATCCGTAAACCAAATCGAATGCAGCTTGGTCATTCAGGAGTACTACAATTGTAGGTCGTTCATACGTATGGTTCCCATTCCAACACCTGACGGATTGTGAAACTTTGGCCAATGAAACCCCTCTAACGCACCGGAATTCTGCTTGCTGCTCTCGAGGCAGTGTTTCACGAGTCTCTATAAGGCGGCCGAGTAGAAATGACGCCAAGAGTTTCGTTACTAGCGCAGTATAGTCGATATCCTTGTGGCCATCACATTAACTACGAGCCTCTTCTTGGAAATGAGAGCTACCACCGATTCTCTCCAGTTTCCTGGGGCAGTCTCTTTCTTTGAAATGCAGGCAAACAGATCAAACAAGCACTGACTGAGGATCACATCCCCATTTTTGAACAGTGTGGGTTGGAGATCATCCGGACCTGGATCTCGGTGGTGCTTGAGAGAATGTATGCAATCACAGACTTCCGAGGCTCTGTGGGATTCTGCAATCACCTTCCAAAGTTTTACTTCGGCTGTAAGATTCAAATAAGTGACAGCGGATGTCCACGAGAATTGTTGTTCGAAGTATTCAACCCAGCGGTATTGGTTCCCTTCTTTATTCAATATGGTTACGCATTTAGATGCTCGATGGTTTCGCTCACAGGCGGTTTCCTATCACACAAAACAACTCAAATAATCTTCGAGCACGCTCACTTTCACTTGGGTTCTGATGATTCGTTGCTCAACTTATGTACGGGAGACATTACTCCAAGACCTGAGCAGCACCATTGTTCTGTCTTAAATTCAGTGCTTGAGCGGACCTGGTAGCGCCTTTGTGCAGATAAGACTCTCAGCATTGTGCAAGGATATGGCGATTCCACTTCTGAGTTCATATCTGATGGTGGAGCAGTTGGAGGAGACTCTAGAAAACAATGCCGGCGAATTCATCGAACATACGAATCTGCCAGTCCTTTAGTGGCTAAACTATTTGTCCGCACTTCACGCGGTCACGGAAAACGGTCGAGTATGTGTTCGGAATCTACAAATGTGTTCTAAAATGAGTGGCAGTCAGCTAGTGATCCGCGTCATCAGTACTTGATAGTGATGTGATCAGTCTAAGTTCGTAGGTGGCATGGTGTTGGAGGAGGTCACGTGATCAGTCAACTTCGGTTATTTCGGAAGTCAGTGGTTCGTCAACAATCGCTCAGTCATTGAACAGGATGAGTACAACTTCCGTCTAATTGGTCATCACCACGTGACCTCGTGCGTGATGCTATCTCCCCATTAAATGCTTGTTAATCACACTCCTTAATCAGACGCTGTTGGTCGAACGGTTGAACGTTCAAACTGCCAGCTGTGAGACGCAAGCTGCGGTCGTCCCTAATAATGCTTGTTAATCACACTCCTTAATCAGACGCTGTTGGTCGAACGGTTGAACGTTCAAACTGCCAGCTGTGAGACGCAAGCTGCGGATGATCCCCAATAAGGATAAAACAGCTCTACAATGCTTCCCGGCTCCTAAGCATAAACTGGCTCGACACGAAGGAAGAATCAATTTATGCTCTGTTTGCCGGGTCAACTATATTTAGATTTGTCTTTGAAGATACTTTGATCCTGGACTTGTATAGATTAAGAATTACAGGAATCTGTCGCTAAAAAGGAAAGCACTTACGACAGTATTCACGATGTCCGTTTTGGTAGATATACATGTCCTTCAGGGTGGCTCCCAGTTGAGCCTGTCGCTTTAGCGACCTTTTTGAAGAAGATCGCTTCGGTCTGGTTGTATCCATCTGAATGCTTTCCATGTTGAGTCCACGCGGTTTTGGAACCAACTGGTCCCACTGTATGCTGTCCAAAAAGCAAAGGTTTGGGTTGCCCATGATCAATATATTTGAACGTCCCACGTGCCGTAGTGAAGCAAAGCCGAGAAATTCCAGATGAGCGTTCGAGTTGATGTTGATTGCACGTGATAGCTGAGTTTGATGACCATCTGAAGTGAGGAGTATGAAATTGTTTGTGGCTGGTACTTCAGAATAGCCAATAGAGTAGAATCACTATGAAAGCATGTTAGAGAAGATTAATTATCGCTGATTTCAACTCAATGATTTCAACTGATTTCAAATTGGTGAACAAAATAATCCGAACAATGATATTCTTGATTCCATCGTGTAAGTGAAATCAGTCTTCACTTAAGAGTGTCACATCATATTCGAGATGTACTACTCACAAGGTTGCTGAAAACTCTTCGACGGCCCATGACCGATTTCGCCCTTCTTGGGGCTCATCAGGTAGGCGCCGTCCCAGAGTTTCCGTCAACCTTAGGTTCTACTTGAAACCAAATAGCACGAAATTAGTGGAATGCAATCATTTGCTAACTAATTTGGTTTTGCGAGAGACTCATCCCGAACCCCGCTAAATCTCTCGTTTGTGATGCATCCAGGCAACTGAATGTGCTGCACCAGGCCGCCTCATGTTTCAGTCGCTACGATGTGCGAGATATCGCGATACATGCATATTCATATCATCCCTCTCGCGTTGATAAAAAACGTAAGTGCCCAACTTCTAAGTCTCATGAACTTTCACAAATGAGTTTTAGCTCCAGAATTTAATTGAGTTATCTGCGGTGCGGTTACACTCACCCGGATAGAAAGTTGGACCGATCACTAGTTAGTCAAACAGCTATGTCACGTGATCTGGCGTTGATCAGCTCTTGACTAACGACTTCTACGGTAAATCTGCTGTTCTGGAAGTTCGAGAAGCACTAAACAAACGGTTTACTTCTCCCAAGACAATTCATCCATTTGGACCTCGCTAACCTACAGCTAACTTGAGACCCGAAACGAACTAGATCGTGAAAATCTCCAAGTTCACTTGAATCGAGACTTTATCTGACTAGTTCCTGGACGATCCGACCCCTCACAATGAATCAGAAAGTCTGGCATTTTGGATTTGACCCCGGCGGGCCAGGGATTTTACAGCCGAAGCAGACTTTCTTAAAGTCATCAGTCACACCAGTTTTACTGATGCAACCAACAACCAGACAACAAGGCAGTCTTTACACTGATTGTTCCAGCTGAATGGTGAATTGTCCCATCCACGTTCCCCGCCCCCGTCTGTGATCAGTCATAAACTGTTTGTACATCTGAAGCCTTGCAGAAGAGTTCACTACTGATTGATTTTCCTCCAACCTGTAGCATTCTTACTACTATAACAAGTACAGAGTAATGAATGATAGATACAGGTTCATTTGATCTGACAGAAGTTAACAATTCCGCCTGCGGTTGTTCGGTTATTTTCCGTCACCAAACCTTTTTAGGCGGACCGGCAAGTAGTCTAGATGATAGTGTTCGTGTAACGCGTCACTTACCTCCATCGATTATTTCCAATTTGCTCAAAAACGTGAGATTCGTCAACCAGGGAGCATCTGTGCCCGCGCTAATGTACAGCATTCCGGTGATTCTTTGCAACTTTGATAGACCGGCAACGAGATCCGACCACTCAACGGTCTCCTCAGCGGAAAGGTTGTAAAAAGGATCGCTTTTGTGTGAGAAAAATGAGGTAGATGTGCTTATAGAAATACACTCATTTGCAAATCAATTTGGCTTTCACGAAAGATTCAAATGAATATCTCGTGTATGATGTTCTACAACTGAATGTGCTGCACAAAGGTCACCCACTATATTCGAGATTTCGCAGTATATTTTCATAAAGGAAACTACTCACAAGATTACTGAAAACTCTTTGACAGCCCACGACCGATTTTACCCTTCTTGGGGCTCATCAGATAGGCGCAGTTCCAGAGTTTCCGTCATCCTTACGTTCTACCTGAACCCAAACTGGATTCGAGTCGAGAAATACACTCATTTGCAAATCAATTTGGTTTAGGATGTAACTCGGGTTGGAAAAGCTGACTTTTCATTGAGGGGTTTAATTCACTTTCACTGCCGACAATACTTGGTTGACAATAAAACAGCTGATTATTCAACAAAAGAACGTTCTTGAGGTGTTGTCACGTGAGCTCGAATCGGGTAGTTTGCTCACAAATAGTAGCTAACTAAATGTGAAACAGAAGCCTTACATGCTTAAAAACTAAAGGTATATTCAGGACGGGAGGTCTGGCAAGGAAATGCATATTTTTATTTGGGTAGCATGCATATCAGAAAACAAGTAAGAATTCCAGTGTGGGTCATGGAAGGAACACGCGAGCTTCGATTTACAAAAACTGCCCGGGGAATTTTTGGGGCCTAGTTCGGGGGTCGCAACAAAATCTGGAGGACTATTCACTAAACATTTTCGTTCTTTTCTGAAACTGTTGTCGTTCGATATGGATGGAGGTCTGCTGGCATAGAAATTGCGGATAAATTGACAGGACACGACCAAAAAAAAACGGCCATTCATGTCAATAAGAATTTATTCAGCCAGCGAAATCGAAGGACCGCGTAAACCAGAGAAGCTCTCTTGTGCTTTTTTCCTACGCGCCTTCCTAACCAGATGAAGACTTAGAACTCGTCCACTGTATTCTAAACTTAATAATTGTGAAATATGATTTGGATTTCTCATGCTCCCCAAAAACATCTCGTCAAGTTAGCTTGGTCTCGCAACATCCAGATAAACATTTATCGAAAAATAGGTTCACTGACTGTTGGCAAGCCTGGGATTGTAGGCACCTGGTTGGTTTCGAAACACAGCTGATGCACTGACACTGACAAACTTTAATTAGGTTTACTTCTGTGCAATTTTTGGTCAACTACGCTGTGTAACCTCTTCAGACCATGGATTCCATCCTTTATGTGAAGTCATTCTGTACAGGAAAGTCCAGAAGCCTACTATAAGGGGTAGCTGACGTATGAATGTCTGACTGGATCACGCATGGTTGATCTCAATTAATCATCTCTCTTGCCTTGAGCTCATTGATCAGGTTGAGTCTGAACTAGTCAAGACTGACCACTTGCCTTCCTTATGAAAACCTGTTTGCACTGACTACCAAACCAGAGTGAGCAGTGCTCTCAAAATCAATGCGCAAAGTTGCAGGAACATGACGGTTGGTGTCCAAGCTAACAGAATTGGTTGTGACAAATACATCCGTTTGCATATCACCTTGGTTTTGACGGAAGGCCCCCCTGGAGCCCAGTTGAATCTCTCGTTTATGATGTTTTTAAGAAACTGAATGTGCTGCATCAGGCCATCTCATGTTTCATTTGTGACACATGCATAGACGCAATACACTACTCATAAGGTTGCTGAAGACTCTTGTGGTTTAAACAAGGAGTGAGTCGGTGAAAGCGAGCTGACTGGTATAAAATAGTGTAAGGCCAGAGCAACAGTTTAATCTCTGTTCTAATAACCATCAACTTTTTAACGGATCCCGTGAATCATTTGGCATTTTTCTCTTTCCTTCCTCTCCTCGACACTGATTCCAACGAAATGCCTCAGGGAGTTCAAACAGTCTGTTCCACAAAAAGTATGTCGCATGAGCTTCCCCCAGGCACATTTTGATACAAATTGTCTGACGTCAGTCTAAAGGTAGGCATGTCGTATGCATGTCTGTTTCGATGTGAGGTAGATATACCGCCTTCGATAGTAAGATCCTGTTGCTTTTGTAACACAGAAAGGAATGTTGGAAGAGAGCTCGTAACTTTATTACTTTGTGAACAGTGATTGCCTTTAAAGTTACGTTTTCCTTATTCAAAGGAATAATCCTTGGAAGGGCTGTTTGCCACAACGTATCATGCAAGTAAATTAGAGCGAACTTATATAACCGACAGGCACCTATCAAACACACCCTGGCGGTCAGTGGCTTCAAATACCTCAATGTTTATTTCAAGAGGAATTGTAGATTATCATTGTGACATTCTAAGATGAGCTCACAACAGATTTGCTCTGTAAGAAAGTTGAACCATGACCAGCAAAGCAACGAACACGCTTGATCATCAGTGATATATCTGTCGATCGGTAGCCTTCAAACTATATGTGGAAATTCTACTACGGTAGTGCAGATAACATGACCAAAACTGCCTTAGATGAAGTGAGTTCCGAAAGCACCAATGACGAATAAAAGATAAAAAGCAACCTCTTGCCGGCACTGAGTTCATAAATTCAAATTCTCCAACGAACAAGATAACTTTCGGTTAGCAATAGCCCCTAGTTTCTTGATAAAACTGCCCGGTTGTCAGGTTCTTATGGTTTGTAACAATCCAGCAGTATGGTTACCACGACAAATTCGGTAGTTCTGTTAAATTCCTGCTTTCACATAACCTTTTCGAGCAATTCTGACTCGTTGATTATCAGTAGATGCAATTTTGGGGTTTTGCGGGATAGGTATTTTTGCTCATAGCCACACCACTTTCGTTTGAACGGCCGTGTTCCTGTTCTGGCGTAATTATCCCGGTGAGTCCACACCAAAGGGAAGCACTAGACTCGAGTTTCGCTCCTTTTGGAGCTCATCATCACTGCATATCCAATGGACGTGCCGGGATTTGAACCCCATACATCTGACATGCGAGGCGAGCGTGTAACCACTACTCCACCAAAGCATGTTGGACGCATCTGAATTATCACGTCTGAACAGGCGAACGTGTTCGCACTTGATCGATGTGATTGGTGTGCCCAACTCATGATTGAACGACGACCCAGTAACTCTCTACTCCAGGACTAAGAACCGGAGAATTCTCTATTTTTTCGTGGTTCGCCTCCCTCCTTCCCTTCTGTTACATGAATACAGATGGAACTTAATTACCTATACAATATGTACCAGTGCTGACTCCTTAGTGAACGAATTTGACAGATACACTGATTAGTGAACTACCCCTTTGAAACAATTGGTGATTGAAGGAAGTATGAGCGTGGACATCGACCTCACGGGCCGTCAAGCTGATGAGCTCAGTCATGTAATGCGAAGGGGAGCACTAGACTCGAGTTTCGCTCCTTTTGGAGCTCATCATCACTGCATATCCAATGGACGTGCCGGGATTTGAACCCCATACATCTGAC